ACACGCCTAACAAGCAATAATATCAACTATTACAGTATTTCCAACTGCACGTTTGACTAGCAGTAGTTTAAACTACTATACTTATGAAAAATGATAATTTTAACTACTATACGTGGTCTGTATCATAAAATCTGATACAAAAGGTGACAGTTTCAAATCTCACCAACAATAAATAGATTTTATTGTTATTGAGAGTCGATAAGCACCGAAAGGGAGGCAGAAATAGAGCCCTAATAAAAAAATCTACTATACGAATAAAAAATTGTAGTTGACACCTAACTAGCTTAGTACCAACTACTGCATGCCTGACTAGCAGTACTTTCAACTACTATACGTGATAATAGTGGTTCTAATTACTGTACGCTTAACAAACGTTAGTACCAACCACTATAATATGAGAGACAGTAGTTCGAACTCCTACATTCTTAACAAACAATAGTAACAACTACCACAAGTAAGAAATAACATAAGTTCCAATTACATGCGTGACTAGCAGTAGTTTCAACCACTATACGTATGAAAAATAGTAGTTTCAACTACAGCACTCCTGAGTCGCACTAGTACCAACTACTATAAACTATATAGTACCAACTATTTTACATATAAAAATATAGAAGTTCCAACTGTACACATGACTAGCAAGACATGAATGAAAAACAATGGTTCCAACTACTGACTAGCAGGTCAAGCTCATACACATATTATCGGTCACCAAGACCGTAAATCAAAGGAGTAGAAAACTAAATATAGATATATTTACTATTCTGAACAGATGCTCATCTTTGCTCATAATATTAGTTGCTTTATTATGTTTGTCAAAAACATCATGCGCGAAACTTGACGAAAATTTAACGGTTACATGCATGATAAACAATAGTTCCAACTGTCAAATGTGTATAAACTAAGCTATTCACTTTAGTGTGTTTATTGTAGTTGTAGTACTAATTCTCAGTAAATTTAGGACAGTTTGTATATTAAATGAGTTGAGACTAGACTTTATTCGATTTCCAATTTTGTTTATAACTGCATCCGATACTAAAACGTATATTTTTAGTGCTCATTGGTTATAATGGAGGCGATGACAGTGAAATTTAAGTGACAGCTTAAGTATTTACCAACTTATACCAACTCATCCCAATATAAATCAGAATAAAATATACAATGGTCTACAAGGTATTAGTTGAAATTTTGTCATCTTTCAAAAAATACATTATACCTTGTATTTTTGTACCATACAAATATATAAATAATGGTGTAAATATAGTAAAAATTAACTAACATTAAAAAATACATTTATAAATTTGTCATATTGTGGATATTAAGCTTAAACCCCTTCTTAAATTGATTATTACTCAATTTTGTCATAAGCATATACTCACGTAATGTAAATATTCATTAAATCATACCTTACATAATAAAATGATATAAAATAGATATACACTGTATTCTCCATCATTTACATTACATATTTTATATGGATGCAACATGTTAAAATTATTTTCATGACATCGACCAAAAAAAAAGTGCTAAAATTCGGTGGTTATTTTGTATGTTGTGCACGCTCAATTTGCATAGTTTTCAGAGTCGATCGCATTTATTATTTACGCAGTTGTTAAATCATGTATTCTATTTGTTCTCTCTCTCCTTCTCTCTCTCTCTCGTTTCACTTTATTCACGCTACCTGTTTTATACGTTTCTATTGCATGTATTATTCAGCACGCCGAAACGGCGAACCGATTAATTATTCATCCTTTAATTACGCAGGCAAACAATGAAAATTAAATGACAAAAAGTATAAAAAAAATCTAGCACACACGAAGCTTCAGAATGAAATGAAACTTGTATTGTTTTCGGAACCCATATTAATAGTAAATCTTATAAGATACTAAGTTTGTTTTCTAAAATATTTCAAAAGAAACAAAAACATATACAAAATTTCTTCAAAAGAAATTTAATGAAATGAAAATCTAAATTATTTTTTTGCCAACCCAAAATTATGCACATGTAGTTTTTACTATTTATTCTAATAAAATCCTAAATAATTAATAAAAGAAATTGCCAACAAATGCTTAGAAAAGTTAAACTTAATTAGAATCAAAAGCATAAAGTGTTAATTTATAAACATTATATTGAATAGAATGAAGAAACTGAACATTTAGTTCAATGCAGTTGTAATTATTAAAAATTAATTTAAATGAAATCCTTTGATAAAAAAATTTGTTTCAGATTGAATAAAATATAAAAATTGTGATTATTTTGTGTTGTGCAAAACATCAAAATATCCATTTATTATAGTGTGAAAAACAATATTGATTTATAATAATGAAATGAATATTGTTATTTATGTATTTTATGTTTTCAAAAGCATTGTGTAGAACATTGAACGCAATGAAATTGCTTGTATAAGAGCACTTTTAACAACAACTAATTGTACTCGTTGCGAAATTTTTGTCTGGCGTAGAATTGACTCTATTATCCGGTTTGCAAATGCGAAAAAGAATGGAAATGCAATGTTCTCTCGTCTCTTTTTTTCTTTTTGCTTCTTCCGTTTTATGTTTTTCCCGTTTTTTTATAGCACGCCCAGCGCATCCACCCTATTACGTTTTTTTTTTCTCGCTCCAGTTTGATTGAGGAGAATTAAATTAAAATGATGCTGCACGGAAACGTTCGTCTCTCCGATTCACCCTAGTTGCTATTACCTTTGTTCGTGAAATTCAGTGAAAACTGAGAGAAGGATAGATAATTAGTGACAAGAGTGTTTTTTTAATTGATCGAACAATGTGCACACAATGTGTCTCAATTACTTCATATATCTGTTTTTTTTATGAATTTATGATAAAATATTATATTTTTATATGTAAAGAATGAATTTTTTTTCCTTATGTATTAATGTTTGGCCAATAAATTATTATTATATTTGAAGTTTTTTCAAACGTGAGTTATTTAATTTCTTCGTTCTCTAACATAAAGCTGAAATAAAAAGTATCGGTTTCCGAACAGAATTTTTGTCCTTATTACAGGCAAACTGAGATGATCGCCTGAGATGATCATCAGTTTTCGTTAACGTTATCTAATATTAATTCAGATTTTAAACATTTGTTCGACAACCGAATTACTGTTATAAGTCATTTTACATTAATGTTTATGGTAGAAAATATTTATGATTGTCAAATAATACGGAATTCCAACAGACTTTGAAATTATGTTCGACAACCAAAGTTAGTTAATAAAAAATATTTATATAAGAGTACAACTAAGTGCAATTGCCCTGTATAATAGTTCTGTGTTTCATGTGTTTATTATTTTGGTACAGTATTGTTCGTTAAGTGAAGAGTTGTTTTCTAAAGTTTTTATATGTATACATTTATCATATTATAAAAGAACCTTCTGTCCGTGGATAGACACAGAAATATTTTCAGACGTCTCATACATAACTGTGACCAAACAAAGAAAAGTTTTGAAACTTTTTTTTAACAATAGCAGAAACTTAGTACATGAGAAACATGATTTTCTTTCCACAAAAAAATATAATTCTATAATTGTTGCAACAAATAATGTTATTATTTTTTATAAGAAACATTGCATAATTATATAGTTTTAAAGTTATAATCAAAAGATCATTATTGTTTTAGACGAAGGAAGGAAGGTGCAGAAAGAAATCGTTGGGATTTCAAAGATGTCGTTTATTAACTACATCTTACACCGATTACACTTCTATTTAACTAATAGTGTCTAACTAATGCTACTAATCTATCACTAATTATAAACTAATAATGATCTCCTCCATGCTTAACTCCTCCGAGCTAAGCTTCCTCGACAACTTCATGGTGTACATTGCTGACACATTTCACAACCACTGTTGCGCTCAAACAATAATCGTTACAAAAACAAAGCGTCTTATTTGTTTGAGTTTAGAAATGAATAAAGGAAAGCAATATAAATACACACTTTTTATCTTGTAAATGAATATAATTGATGTTTTTATTAAATATGATTTAAAAATATAATTTTGGCAGACAAATGTATGTTTACTGTTTCAATTAAGTCCACGATTATTTTGGTTGACAAATGTTTGTTTTCTTTTTTAATCTAAACCAATTTAATTTTAATTAACATATAAATGTTTCCTGTTTTAATCCAATCCTTTTTAATTTTGGTTGGTAAATGTATGTTATCTATTCCAATCTTATGCAATTTAATTTTAATTAACATATGTATGTTTTCTGTTTCGATCTAATTTCATTTAAGTTCGGTTGACAAATTTATATTTTATGTTCAAATCCAGTCCAATTTAATTTTGGTTGACAAATGTATGTTTTCTGTCTCAATTTAGTTCAAACTGGGTTGACATATGTATCATTTCTGTTTCAATTTAGTCCAAATTATGTTTTGTTGACAATCGTACATATTCTGTTTCAATCTAGGCTAATTTAATTTTGATTGACAAATGTATATTATCAGTTTAAACCTAGTATAATATAATTTTATTCAAGAATTGTATATTGTCTGTAACAAACTAGTCCAATTTAATTTTGGTTTACAAATGCATATTTTGTATTTCAATATTGTTCATTATAAGTCCAATATTATAAATGATACTATAAATGAAGTATGATATTATGACATGACATTTGACAACCATCTGTCACTTTAGTAATGTAAAAAAATACATACATCTTGAATCTAAACTTAACTTTTATAAGTGAATTAAAAAATATTGTCTTCTTGTTAATCAATTTTCATTTAGATTTAAATCATTTTCCCCTACATTATAATTACATCAGGTGGACAGGGTGACGTGACTATAAAATGCGTGCTATTAAAACTTATATATTAGTAACATGATCAGCTTCCATAAGTACATAAAAGTTGTTACATACAGTTGACATACTTTATATCAAATGTCACGCATAGTGACAACATAAAAAAATTACCAATCGATATACTCTAATTATAATTATGAACCATGATAAATCACCACAGCTATTTTCTTGCTTCAGGTAATGTCTTCGTCATCGCCGCTATAATCACCGAGCGAAACTTGCAAAGCGTTGCCAACTACCTGATCCTCTCGTTGGCCGTCGCAGATCTTCTGGTTGCGTGCTTGGTGATGCCTCTGGGTGCGGTGTACGAGGTCAGCCATGCGTGGACCTTGGGTCCAGAACTCTGCGACATGTGGACCTCCAGTGACGTTCTCTGCTGTACCGCATCCATCCTCCATCTGGTGGCAATCGCACTGGACAGGTAATTCTTAAAATTTATTTCCTTTCATTTTCATTCCATTTCCGTGCGCGTGCAATTTCCTTTTCCTTCTGGTCCTCTGCCTTTCCTTTACCGTTATTTATTTATTCACCCCCGTATATTAGGTGGAGATGCGAAGGTTTGCGCGTAAATCAAAGCACTCCGCTTCTCTGCGTAATATTTTTTTTCTTCCTCTTTTGGTTCATTCGCCCCGGTGTGCGTTGACCGGGGCTGCTCGTTTCAGATAATTTCACGGTCTATTAAATTTCCGCTACTCACTTTTTTCTTTCTGTTTGTTCCTGCGCCATCTATGGTGATATTATAGAAAAAAAAATGAATGCCCGATGGAACGTGTGTGAAATTAACCTTTACTTGCATTAATTATTTAGACAGACCTAAAGGAAACTTATAAAGCAGTAGACTGAGATGATTTCAAAGCAAAATGAATGAGAATCTAATCGATTTATTGGATTCAAATTTTTATAAATATCTGCGTAAAGAATTGGCATAAATCCAAAGACAGCCGTACTGAAACCAGGAAAAGAATCAAATAAGTTTTGATTTATTTCGTTTACTTCATTTTCAAAGTCTTAAACGATTCTATACTGGATCAGTATCAGTTGGTGCTGTTTGCAAATATTCTTTCCCGATATCCGGGATTAAAAGTTTGTTGAATTTTATTCAAAATATGTTTTCTTAGTTGATGATATAGATATTTCCAATATTTATAATTACATAGATTGTTCATTTCAATAGTTTGTGATAATTCTTAATTCTTAAATTCTAATACATGTTTTTGCGGGTTGCCGATGGGATGCAAATATTTAATTTGCTAAGATGATCCTTTGTAAAGATTCACTAGCAGATGAACAGGTTTCATCACTTGCTTCCACTAAATCACTGTATTCAAATTCCCAATCTGTGTCAACAAAATGTACTAAAAATCAAATCTATTACATATTTAGTGATGAAGTAATTGATTTTGAAAGAAACTGCTGATATTTATAAGATTTGGTCGTCTGTTTTAAATTTTTGTATATTTTTAACATTATTATTGTTATTATTACGTACCTAATCAACCCTGGAATCTGGATTACAAAAATAAGTTAATATTCCGGGAATGGCCATGAAATTATTACAATAGTACGTAATAGTAGTAAAATATACTTTTTAAATATAGATGTTCACAAAGAAAATTCTGTGAACAAATATTCAGTATTGCCCTAATGTATATAGAGTACACTTTGATATAGAAGAATAGTTCTTAGGTTTTTCTATTCATCAACCTTTCTACTACTTATGACATATTGAGTTACAAGAAGTAGAGACAAAAGTATTGAATTCAATATATTGTAACATGTATAATTATTACATCAGTCATGTAATCAGTCAAGAACTTTCATATATAAATATGATATAACTGCTGATGAAACTAGTAAAAAATAGAAAAGGTTAACGGAATCAATCCGATCAATACAATGAAGATTTTAGAAAACTCGACACTAGACACAAATGTTTACAATAAAAAATCATAATTGAAGTATTTGCAGAAAGTAAGAACCCGAAACAACATTTGAAAACTTAAAATCTATACATAGAATACCAGAATAGAAGATGTTTATTCATACTCAACAGGTCAATACAGCACTCAACCAGATGAGGCGCAACGTGACAAGATGTTTGATGACATCTCTTGTCAACAAAATATACCATCTCAAAGGAATAGTAACTTCTGAGGTCGAAGAAAGATTAGCAGTAGACAATCTGTATATAAAAACAGGAAACTATCCTCTGTTTGGACACGAATGAAAAACATCATTCAATTCTGACGTAGAAGAACTTCTTACGAAGAATAGTATCGATCTTATCACTTTTAAAGAATTTAAAAAAGCTTCCATAAATACATATACTCATACCTCGGTTAACGCTATATCTGATAACAAAGTTTCGATATAACGAACTTAACAATTTTAAACGTTGTATTAGAAATGAAGTTGAAATTAAAAAAGTTCCTGCCATAAAATGTTGTCAAACAAAGATTGATGAAGATGCTTAAGTAACATTGAAGAGATCTTAAATGTAAATTATCCTGATTTAGGAAGAAGTGTTATTGTTCAACACAGATGCAACAACTCCGTATAGATTTTTAAATGATGGACAAAAAAAAGCATAAACCATCAACTCATATTTAAAATGTGATTTCACATCTTTTCTTTGATTAAAATAAAAGCTTTTCATTTTCTTTACGTACTATGGCCTCAATATGTTTACTTCTGAAAATGAAGTTTCGCTTAATGATGTAATTTCGTGGAACGCTTTCTATTTGTTACTGCACCATATTTATTCATAAATATTTGCATATTATTCATATTTATAATAACAAAATTATACTCTAACAATGTTTCTGTCATGCTTTGAATCTAATAAGAATTTCTTTTTGAACAGTTGTCACTTAATTTCACAAATGTACTTATAATTACATTTAAATAAATGCATTCAACTATAAAAATACAATGTATTATTTTTCATGTTTTATATAAACCAAATTTGAGTCGATTACTGAAATGATGTATTTTATTATTTATTTTAGTCTATTTTCACAAATACCATCCGGCCATGACACAAACATTTAATTAACTACATTGTTTTCATTCAAATATACTCGAAAATAAAATTGTTGCCGTATGAATAGAAATTTTCTATATATTTTGATGTTATTGATTTATAATATCATTAGTTAAATTATTACAAAATTATGTAACGGTTGTTAACGATACTGAAAATAATCAGAAAATTATAAACTCTTTATGATTCAACAAACACTTATTCTTTGACATCAATAAGTATAATGTATAAATAATTACTAATTGTAAGAATGTACCTCTTGCAAAGGTATTGTTATGTGTATAGTGCATATAGTGATTTCAAAATAATACCTATGATTAATGTACTACGAAGAACAACGGACGTAACATGAAGGATAAACCTGGTTGCCTTACGGGACTTAGAATAGGCTTACAACAGAGGGTGTAAACGAAAGCAGCGAATATTGTAAATTATAAGATCCTCAGTAACCTAATAAACCTCTGTATAAAGATTAATTTAATTCAATGACAAATATAAATTATTTATGAGTTTTTAAATATTTAAAAATGAATAAATTAATTGTTTTCTTTGTTTGTTCAATTTAGGTATTGGGCAGTCACGAACATCGATTATATCCATCACAGGACAGGGAAGAGGATAATGATTATGATTCTGGTGGTGTGGTGCGTGGCCTTCTTCGTGTGCATTGCTCCGCTGCTTGGATGGAAGGACGAGCGCTGGGGAGAACGGATAGAAAAGGATAAGATATGCTTGGTGAGCCAGGATATCGGGTACCAAATCTTCGCAACGGCCAGCAGCTTCTATCTTCCTTTGCTGGTCATCCTCATCCTGTACTGGAGGATCTTCCAAACGGCAAGGAAGCGCATCCGCAGACGACAGATCCTAACTAAAGCGACGGAAACGGTGAAGGATAATCCGGCGATTGGCGGTATTGCCGGAGGATTAGCGGCGGCGAGCGGAACCGGTGGTATAGCCGCAGCAGTCGTAACCATCATCGGACGACCTTTACCTACTATTTCAGAGACGACAACGACGGCTTTTACGAACGTATCCTCGAACAACACCAGCCCGGAGAAAACGTCGTGCGCAAACGGATTAGACGATCCACCTACCACCACAGATGGCGGAGGCGGCGGGCCCGGTTGCTACCAGCAGCCCCAACACTACCCGGTGAAGAGGAAAGTCAAGGATTCGGCGGACTCGAAGCGCGAGAGGAAGGCCGCCAAAACTCTGGCCATCATCACCGGTGCCTTCGTGATGTGCTGGCTGCCGTTCTTCGTGATGGCCGTACTGCTGCCCATCTACAAGGATCTGTTCAAAGAATACGTGATCTCGCTCTTCCTCTGGCTGGGCTACTTCAATTCCACCTTGAACCCGATCATCTACACGATCTTCAGCCCGGAGTTCCGGCACGCCTTCAAGAAGATGCTGTGCGGCAAGCACTATGCGCGCAGGAGGACAAGGAACTTTGGCATACGTCATCTCCAATGATGTCGGCAGAGTGATGTCTTGTCTGTGGAGCCGACGGCGGCCAGACTGGCCGTTGCCGTCACCTCCACAGCCCCCGTCGCCGGAACCGCAGGCGGCGGGGGCGGCCGCAACGTCACCTTCAAGTGTGACTGATACGAGGGGCACGGCGGGGACAAGAGATCACTGCGGGTGCCGCAAGCGATGGACTTCGGCGAACCCACCAGCAGCTGCATGGACACCGAAATCACGGAAGTCCTCGTGCGAAGAGTCGCCTTCGAATTGAGCGAATTCTAAAGAAAGGAAGAAGAAGAAAAAACAACTGTACATAACTATATACAAATTATATTTTAAAAATGTTAAGAGAATCCTTACAAACAAACAAACAAATATATATATAATTAATCTTATTAATTATTTATATATAGACTGATTAATTTATCGCACCGACCAATTGAATTTAATCGTAAAGCAAAATGACGATGATCGCAAGGAAAGAAGGAATGATACCGACATAATAATATTCTACATTCTTCGAAACAAAAACAAACTACTTAAGTGTTCCCTAACTATTTAGCAATAACTATCAATTCTCAATGTTGTAAGATTTCTACTTCTACTACTAAAAACTAAAACTACTAAAAAACATAAACTAAATATCTAGCGATTAAGTTTTAGATAGGAAGTAACAAATTATAATTACTTAAAAAAATCCTCTCCAAAACAAAAATCCTAAAACCTAATATTATATTTTAGGTGAAATCATTATCTAGATTAATTTGTAAATACTATAAATAAATTTAATTAATAACAACAACAATACAAAAATCTATTTGATGTGTATATTTGTGTGTGTGTGTGCATGTGTGTATCAAAAATTACGCAATAATATTCGAAATCGATTAATATTAAATATCAAGTTTACATGTGATGTACAATCAACAGAGCGATTATATAAAATATCTGTAGGGTTATATTCATTTACTTAATTTCTCATTTTCTTTTCGTAATTGAGTCTGGCGGGAAAAAATAATTGATGTTTCAAAAAGGAATATTTTTGTATACGTCGCTGGATTTTACGATTTACTTATTTATTTATTTATTTATTTTAATTTTGAGCCTTCGGAACTTGAGGCAGAGGATGGTGGAATCGAACAGGTGATATGATAACTATTAGATTATTTTTTTAGTTTTGGTTTCTACTTTTGGTTTCGTTGCGTTTTTTTACTATATATATAACTGTGTTACCAGATATAAAATTGTGTATATAAATATATTATATATATGTAATAAATCTTTATTACAAAAGCTTGTTATTTTTTCTCACTCCAAATATTTAGTTGTTAACATTTTGATCGGCAGGAATTTCTTTAATTTTTTCTTAATTTTTATTGTCTTCATTATTATATATTGATGTATTCCAAATCCACCACTAAAAAACCATCATCACCTTCCGCATATATGGTAATGGGTTCAATTAGATCCGTTCCCATGTCCAAACCATCATCGGATCTCCCAGTTACAGTTTCTTCTATTTTACTATCTTCACTTACTTCGGACTGATCATATCCATTCAAGATATAGTTTAACTGGTCTGTTAATTTTCCGTTACCTCCACCTTCTCCATATACTTCAATTAGATCCGTTCCCACGTCCAAACCATCATCGGATCTTCCAGTTACAGTTTCTTCTATTTTAATATCTTCACTTACTTCGGACTGATCATATCTACTCAAGTTATAGTTTGACTGCTCTGCTATTGTTCCGTCATATCCATCTTCCGCATTACCATATACTTCAATTAGATCCGTTCCCACGTCCAAACCATCATCGGATCTCCCAGTTACAGTTTCTTCTATTTTAATATCTTCACTTACTACGAACTGATCATATCTACTCAAGTTATAGTTTGACTGCTCTGCTATTGTTCCGTTACCTCCACCTTCAGCATTACCATATCCTCTTGTTCGATCCGCTCCCCTATCTGAATCACCATCGAGTCTCCCAATTACAATGTCTCCTTTTATAGTAATATACTTATGTTCTTCGTACTGAACACCTTGATTGTTTCCAATTGTACCACCTAAACCACTATTTCCATTTAGGCCTTTAACATTATCACCATCATCACCGTTCTCTTCTTTATTATCCTGTTTTCCGTTCCATTTCTGCTGTCCGTCATCCAAAAATGACGGTTTCTCCTGACCGCAACTCTTCACGCACCTATTGTCCCTCTCATCCAAAATGTAATCCTTTTTACAAGCACAACCCTTTTTACGATGCAAGAAATCACCCAAGCCTGATATTCCCTTTGATTGACACGTTGTTAGACAAGTGGAACAATGCGATATCTCCTCGTTATTCTCCTCATCGCACCAACAATCCTTCGAAATAAAATTGGACAATCCTAAAACGAAAATGAAATTAACCATATTGTAGTTTATTTATAAATATCTACTTCTTCTCTTGGTGCAATCCTTCCTCTTGACACAATCATTCCTCTGCTCATCGAACACAAATCCTTTATTGCATTCACACCCCAAATTGCAGCACTTGGTTTTAACGACTCCGTGATGACAGGTATGTATATTTTTCACACATCTTCTGGCCGTCGAATTCTTTGTACATATTGCTACAAAAATATACAATTTAGTAACATTTATTTACCCCTTTTTGTAATTAATATTCACAAATTTCAGCGGTGTTCAACCACACGCACAGAGCAAGTGCGAAGAGCGCTAATATCGTTTTCATCTCAAATCCTATTACTTGTACTTTCGCAATTAATTTCAACTCAAAGTTGCAATTCCAGGTACTTTCGACCTATTTATATGTTGCGTTCATAAGAAGTGCGACAATAGTGATAGTGCACCAATTATTATAGTTAAGATATTCCTCAATTATTGTTTACCTTAATAAAATTCGAAAAGCAATTACTACTTTTAACAACTTACGTAATAACTGCTTACAAATGTTAATGTTGTTTTGTTGTTTCATGCAACAATTAATACTAATTGTTGAAAGTTTCCATTTGTTACTTAAACTTCCATTCCTAACTAGATAATTATTGATAAAATGCGTAGCTTAATTTGTTCAGTAACATTCTAAACATAAGAAAGGAAATGTTTTCATGTGTTAGCTTGGACACATTTCTCATCATTCAATTGTGACGCGAAAGAACTTCTTACGAACAACAGAATCAATACTATTTTATATATTAAATAATTAAAAAAGTGTACACGTTACCACAAATACATACATTATTAACTCGGTTAACATTACCTCTGATAACGAAGCTTCGATATAATAAAGTCTGCAATTTGAAGCCCCATTTTAGTCAAAAATATTCCAATTTAAGGTTAAAGTTCGACAACCATCTGGTGGGAAGTTGTTCAAATTAATAATTAATAGATTTTAAAAATGTTGATGAAGAGAATGTTAAAAATATTGAATGCAGAAGTTGATGGTTTATCACTGGATTTAGAATAAGTTTTTAGCTATGAAGGTAAAGAAATTTAAGGCGAAATTTACAATTCTTGCCAAAAAAATGTTAATAAATAAAGATTTATAAAGGTAAATGACATTGCTTTATGACGTTTTATTTTTTAAAGATCCTGATTTAGGAAGAAGTGTTAAATAAGTGAAGGAGAATAAAAAAAGGCAAAACATCAACTTTACACTCATATTTTAAATGTTGACTGTTTATTTGATACAACTTGTTTTTTTGTTTAAAAAAAGCTTTTCATTTTCTTTACGTAGAAACATATCCTACGACAAATTTGTTGCCGTATTTCTATTCATTTTCTATACATTTTGATTTTATTGATTTATTTAACTAATGATATTATTACAAAATTATGTAACGCCTTTAACAACCGAAACAAAAAAAAATCTGAAAATTATAAACTCATTATGATTCATCAAACATTTATTCTTTGACATCAATAAGTATAATGTATAAATAATTACTAATTATATGTATGCACTTCTTGCAAAGATTAATGTACTACGAAGAACAACGGGCGTAATATGAAGGATAAACCTGGTTACTGGTTTTGGTTACTGGGTCTGGCTTTAACAGAGGGTAAAAACGAACGCAGCGAATATTGTAAATTACAAGATCCGCAGTGACCTAACAAACCTTTTATAAAGATTAATTTATATTCAATTACAAAAAATGTAAGCTGTTGAAATATGAGCTTTTAACTTATTTGTTAATCCATTTTAATATTTTTCCTGTTATTTCAATAAATTTCTTTCTACAATTGAATGCCATAGAGCACAATAAACTTGTTGTTTTTTTCAGCAGTTCTCCTTTATTATGTTATCCTAACAAATTTTTGCAAGTATCACTTAGCATTGCCCTGTTAAAGTAAATCGACAACATCATTTCTGTTGTCTTGCTATAACTGGGGGATTTGCACCTTCTGCGCTCCATACCATGGACTGCTACTTGGTTTTCGGATCATACTTATAGAACTAAGATTCATCACCCGTTATGATTTTCAAAATTATTCAAGAACTAGTGGACGAAACGAACACATGTCTTTTTTTGGTCGTCATCATCGATCAGATTTCTTTGTCTAGCCTAAGTGATGACTTACCATTCGCGATACAACCATGACATTCAAGCCCAGTTCATCACCTACCATTTCCTTCACGAGGTTCATCATCAACAAAAAAATGTCCGGTCTGTAAACTTTGATACCACTTGGAAATAGTCACAAGGGATGTGCAATTTGGCATTCGTGAAAAATGTGCATATGTTTGAAGTCAAAATCCGAAGAGAATGACAAAACGAATTTCTTTGTGAAGATGAATAAATTAATTGTTTTCTTTATTTGTTCAATTTAGATATTGGGCATTATATCCATCACAGGACAGTGAAGGGTATAATTATTATGATTCTGATGGCGATATGCGTGGCCTTCTTCGTGTGCATTGCTTTAGCCATCTTATATATTATTTAATTCATCTAATACATATTTGACCATATGTTGCTTTTAATCGCGGACTTCTATAGTAGATTATCTAATATTTGCGTTAACCGAGATATGACTGTATTTTTGTTGTTTTCAGTATTTTTGTTTTAGAGAAAAACGTTACATACTTTGATAAGTTGAAATAAATGCCCCTGTAAGCCTTAGCTCTTTCGTCATAAATGAAGGTTACAATTTTGTAAACAAAAATGAAAAAAGTATTGCACATAAGGTTTAAAATTGCAGGTGAAGTTTTTACATAGGGTTTAAATTTGCAGGTGAAGTATTATACAGCAGATTTTAGTTTGCAAGTGAAGTATTATACAGAAATATTATACGTGACGGTTGAATGCAGGATTGATGGTTTCAGTGAGTACGGTGAGAATCGGATCGTAGTAGTTGGAGCATATTGCAAGTATTGCCGCGGGGAATGATAATTTAATTTGAAGGGTACGAGAGAAGCATTTTCCTGAAGGGAACTGAAATAGTGAAGATGATAATAGGTTAATGGTTGAGCCAGCCTGCCATGAAGGCTTTTAATGTGGTAGGTGATTTTAAGGGTTTTTACTAAATTGTATAGATATTCCGACGAGTTACTGAAAGGGAGAAGCAGAATTCTTCGGATTACTTTTCTTTCGAATTGCACGAGCCTATTGATTAAGTACTTTTATTAATTCTTAAGAGCCCTTTTGCACACAAATTTTTCAATTACAAACAATATGGGTAAATTACCTGTTAAACAAAAAATGTGGTTAATTTTGATTTTCTATGGGAATAATTTGGGATGGAATATTGCCTTCTTCTGCACGTTTACTTTGCCGACGTAACCAATAGTTTTCTGGCATTCGTGAGAATCATTCACAAGTAAGCACAATTCGTTTGATTTGCAGGATTTGCAGTTATCTTGTAGGTTAGACACTGATGATGAATAGTATTCATTATTATTCTTCTTCGCATTATCGATCATATCATCTAAACTACTGCCGTTACCGTCATTTTCTTCAGTTTGATCTTCTGCAGTTAATATACTTCCATCTATATTTTCATCTACGTTTTGATTATTATAATTATCATCACCGTCCTCATCCTTTTCATCATCCTCCTTCTCGTCATCACCATCAATTGTGTCATCTTCACCATCATCACCATACCCCGCTCCAAAAGATTCTTCCTCTTCTATTTGAGCCTGTTCTCCATTCAATTTTAGCTGTCCGTCATCAGAAACCGACGGTGTCTCCTGACCGCAACTCTTCACGCACCTGTTGTCCCTTTCATCCAGAATGTAACCCTTTTTACAAGCGCACCCCTTTTTACGAAATGCATGCAACAATTTACGCGCACCTGATAATCCCTTGGACTGACACGTGTCCACACAATTAGAACAATGCTTTACCTTCTCATTGTTCTCTGCATCGCAATGACAACCTTTCATTTTTTTCTTCAATGATCCTAAAACGAAAATGTAAGTATCCAAATTACATTTTAGTCCAAATTTCTACCTTCTTTCTTAATGAAATCTTTCTTCATAACACAATCTTCCTTCTTAACGCAATCATTCCGCTGCTCATCGAACACAAATCCTTTGTTGCATTCACACATCAAATGGCAGCATCTGCCTTTAACGACTCCATGACAGGTATGCACAGTCTTCACACATTTGTTGGCCGTCGAATTCTTCGTACATATTGCTACAATAAAATATAATTTGGTAACATTTATTTACCACTTTTTTATTTAATACTCACAAATTTCAGCGGAGCTTAAGCTCGCGCACAAAGCAAGCGCGAAAAGCGCTAAAACCGTTTTCATCTCAAACCCTACAAAAGTGAAATGAACCTTTCGCAATTAATTTCAACTCGTAAGAGTTGCAATTCCAGGGACTTTCGACCTATATATATATTGCGTTCATAACAAGTACACTAATTAAGTGCGACGGTAGTGATAGTGCACCAATTACAATAGTTTTTTTTCTTCAATTATGTTTTCCTTACTAACAACCGAAAAGCAATTGCTATTTCGAACAACTAACACAGTAACCACTTATAAATTTTAACGTTTTTTTTTTCTGTTTCTTACAACAATTAATATTATTTTTGTTTGTTATTCTCGTGACTAAAAGTATACTCCAACTAAATAATTATTGATAAAATGCATGGCTTATTATTTGTTCATTCAATGGTAGGTATATAGGCACACCTCGATTGACGAAACTTCGTTTCCAGACGTAAAAAATACTATGGCCAGAATGGGATACATTCTTTCTTTTTCTTGAAAATAAAAATCTTCGAGAAACAAAGAAAAGTTTTATTAAATAAACAGTCAACATGCATTTTAAAATGTGAGATTAAAGTTGATTGCTTATGCTCTTTTTTCTCTTTCATTTAACAATTATCTGTACGTAGTTATTGTATTTCATCACTTAACAACTTAAATCACTATCATTTTCATTAAAAAAGAGTTAACGTTTTTAATATCAAAAACCTTTTTAAATTTTACGTTATTACCATTTCTTCATTTTCTTTGTCTTCATCGAAACTTATTGATTGAGCCATCTAGTTAACTTTATTTATAATTTCTTGGATGTTATTGTATTTTTCTGGTACAACTTCTAGCCATATTTTACAATAAATTAAATTTGAAATTTCGGACATTGTTTTATCGAAACTTCGTTATCAAAAGGTGTATTATTCGTAACATAAATGATACTAAAACTTTCGTTCCTAAACAAATGAGTAACAAACACACAATAAACAAAATAAAAGATGTTCTCTTCCAAAAACATTGAAAATGATTATTTTTTTAGAAACATGTAACGTCTTAAACAATCCTTATTAACTATATTATTATATTCTTAATTGCTTCTATATTTTTTTTATTTCAATAAGAAAAAATCTCTTCATTTACAGAAAACAGTTTATATTTTTATAATAAAACTTTATTTTAATGTACGTATTTGTTATAAAAATAGCGGCAAACCCTCAGAATTAATCATGGTAAGTTTCACTATGGAGCAACGAACGAAAATGGTCAAATTCTTTATTACAACACAACAGTCAATTGTTGAAACATAGCGCTCATCGCTGTCATTTTAAAGCGATTAATTCAACGTTTTCCTTATAAAATTGAATTAGTGCAACAATTGAATTCATTTTATGGAGGACAAATGTTAATTTCGAAAATTTTTATCTTTGGGGTTTCTTGCAAGCCACATATCATTGAAATGCTAAAACTAAATATTGAGCATCGAGTTTAAACAATACAGTCCGAAATACTTAGAAAGGTCTTGGAAAATGCAGTTTTGACCGAATCAGAAAATGGATATCACCTGTATGATATAATTTTTGCCAATTGATTTGTAACAAAAAATACATTAATTAAAAATGTCCAATTGCCAAGTTTTTGTTTTAAACAATATTTTAAAAGTTTAGGGAAAACAAACCAGTTTACGATATCTGGGCAATCCTTTACTTACAAACTTATAACATACATCTGTTACGGTAAAAGTGCGTAGAAATGTATACATATACCTAATGATGTTGATAAATGTGTATATGTTTACGTTAACATACGCGCATGTGCTTGTCACTAATAAATAGATACAAGCAAAAGACAATTTTGAAAATGAAGTAGTTAAAATGCAAAAAAAATGAAATTTAAAATTCCTGCATTCTGAAATAAAAGATGCCGTTAAAATACCGATACCAGATGTACAGAGAGGTTAACAGTTCCCAAAATGTAATATTGGCTGTCCATGAGAATAAACAATGTTTGCATACCTGTCATACGTTGGAAAATGTATACATTTACCGTTAAAAGTAGAAATAAAGCTAATCTCAGATATAAACTCAAATTTACCAACCAATCTGCTAAACGAATACACCTACAAACGAATACACTTTTGAACATATATATTAGGAAGTTTCTGTTATTTATTAAAAATGTTCGTATCATTTTATATTTAATGCAGGGCCGGCGTAATCTTAACTTTAAATTAACTACAGCAAACTGCTTTAGGTTTTAGACTAGATTATATACCAATCTACTTCAACCTAATAAGCAGCTCAATGTTATGTTCTTAAATTATTTGTTTATTTTTCATCATCATCAAAATCTATTAAGAAAACATTCAATTATTTTCAATCAATCATTTAAATATATGTTAGAAAAAATTCATTGCAATTTAAAATAAGTTCTATAATATCTGTAGATAATTATAGGCAGAGGCAGAACTGCAATACCGCTGAACCCCGCAATAAGAAGCCAACATGAAAAATTTTTCAAGGTCCTCGAATAGTAAAACTAACTGGTATCTAAATCAGTGTTTCTGAAACATTTTGGTCCGCGTCCCCTTTTGCACTTAAAAAAAATTGCAGAGGGGGGACAAAGATTTGAAGTTCTGCCATTGTTTATAGGAAACTTTATTAATTATGATTTATTTAATTTAAATATTATTACTGAACATTTATATTTGCAAAGTGTTATCGATCAGTGTTTCCGCCTTTTTAAATAATATTTAACTAATAATTTAAAAATAATATATATAAATCTCTTCAGGCGCTAATTCTATACCTTTCGGGTTTAACAGTCAATTTTGTTGGTTTTTGGGAATAGAACCAAAGACCTTTCGTATCAGATTTTCACGATACAGGCGACCATAGCCAATTAAATATAATAAATGTGTTCGATACTATAGAATCAATAGTATAGAATTTTGTTTAAAAAAAAGAAAAAATTGAAAAAAATTAATAACGACTATCTTTGTTTCAGAAATACAAGTAGGAAGCATTATATAATAATCGTAGACATACCAAGGTTAACGTTATCTCTGATAAGAAAATTTCGATATAACGAAGTTCGCATTTTCAAACAAAATATTGCCGGAAGTTGTGAAATCCATTTATTTAAAAATGACGATGTTAGAAATTTATAAAATTCAGCATCCTATTCGTTTATCAAGGAATTATTGTATTATAAAAAAAAATGTAATAATTATCACTTGGTAATAAACTGTATTATGTTTCTACTTACTAAATTAATTAAAGATATGGCTCTTTGTGCAATTCAATTGCGATTAAAAGGGTAATTTGGAGTTATTATTATTATTATATTTTCCATTATTGGGCTCATACTTCCATTGTTGAAATAACTGAAATTCAATATTGAAATTGTTACTGGTAATTGTGTCTTGTGGATTGCCTATATAACGAACAGCTGTTTATTTGACGTTTTTGCTTTGACGGCAATGGTGTAAACAGTGAAATTATGCGATGGAGTTTGCTGTTTTTGTGCATTTCCTGGCGCTCCTCGTCGGGGGCTTCTGCAGCGACATCACGCAAAATGTCTTTGGGAACGTAGTAGATGGAATGCCGGCTGCTTTCGGCGATTTCAACTCTGACGAGCTGACGGATGTCTTCGTGCTCAGAGACAAAGGTAAAACAGTGGAAATCCTTCTATCCGCGGAGGAGGAGCCTCTGCTGAGGCCTGCGAAGTCGCTAAAGTGTAGCTACAAGGGGCAAATCACTAGTGTTGTACCTGGTGACTTTGATGGGGATGCTTTCATGGATGTTCTCGTAACCACAATGGAAAGAGGTAGCAACACAGGCCTCACTCACATCCACATCAACTGGGGTGGAGCACACCAACTGAATTGCAGTAATGAAAGTGTACCGATTCTCAAGATAACTGGACAACCTTTGGCCATTGATTACAATCAAGACATGATTATCGATCTGTTTGGCATGGATGAACATAAGCAGAGGATGTTTTGGATTTTCAATAATAACAGAACTGCACCAATGCAAATTCCCATGGATGGGAGTCATGTTGAACTTAATAATCCACATGCCCATGCATTTTTAGATTTAAATGATGACAACACTGCTGACTTGTTTTTAACAACAAAGGATAACTTTGAAGTGTGGTTTGGGCATGAGAAACCCCAAAAAGAGTTTGTGTTTGGTTACTCGTTTGATCATCCAAAGGATATTGGGCAACCCATGTTTATTGATATTGAGCTAAGGGGTCGCATGGATTTGCTGGCTCCAGTTTGCTATGATAAGGAGTGCAAGAATAGCACTTTGCTAGTGTATTGTGATAATAGTTGGCACAATCTGCAGGTGGATTTTAAGGACCCCAACAAAGATGTTTGGATGTTTTATCGAAAGGGCACAATATATACGAATTTGATTACGCTGAGGAGCGGTGATTTTAACATGGACGGATACCCAGATCTGCTGGCGACTTTGTCCAAAACACCAGATGGGGAACCGCAGACTTTCATGCTGGAAAACGTCGCCTGCATCACCGGATGCGGAAACTTCACTCGCACCTACGCCATCCAATGGAACGCCCTCAGCCCTTTCAAGGGTGGCACCGTTCTAGGCGTGTTCTTTGATTTCTTCCAAGACGGTATCCTGGATGTGATCCTAGTGCAGAAGAATGGATCCGAATATAAACCGGTGGCTTTCAAGAACAGCCTGGATTACGACGCGAACTTCATCAAGGTCATGGTGTTAACTGGTTTGAATAACAATAAAAACAACCCGATGATCATGGGAAGGGTAGGCAAAAAGCGCAGGACCTATGGTAACAAATCGATCATTCGAAATTAGTTTTTCAGATTGTAATGATTTCATTTTAGGAACGAATTTGCCTGGGCCAAAGGTGGCGTACAGCACGACCACCCAGGAAGGGAACAGGAGGCACGCCGTCTCCGCCCAGTTGCCGCAGTCTGCACACTTCAGCCTAAATCTGCCGTACAACATATTCGGTCTGGGCAGAGCCCCCAATTTCGTGGAGAACGTGACCGTGGGCTTGTCCAACAACTCGCGCCTCTGGACGCAGATCATCCCCAACTCGCAGATTGTCGTCATCCCTTGGCCCACGGATCAGCCGGCCAAGTGGAAGGCTCAGCTGTTCGTTACGCCCAGCAAGCTGATCCTCACCTCTGTGGGTGCACTGACCGGCGTCTGCGTCCTCATAACCATCATCATCGGTGTTCTGCACTGGAAGGAGCGCCAGGATGATAAGAAGGAACGCCTATCGGAGTCGCACAGATTCCATTTCGATGCTATGTGATTATCTAAAGCTCATAAAATAGTTATTTGTTTTTTATTAATTATTTTAATCTAAGTTAATAGTATTTATATTGTATAAATAAATTAGAAATTCTATTCGAAATATATCTAAATTGCACTGACTATAAAAATTAACAGTGATATTGATAAATATACATTATTTTATGAATCTATTATTGGGGAGAAAAGCAGTTTTGAAGGAATAAATACTACATAAATGTACACCAACCATTCCCCAAATAGTTATATTTTATTTTTCAGTTACTTAATTTTCCAGTGACAAATTTTTAGTTGAAAATATTATAAAATCAATTTTGCAACGATTTAATCAATGCTTTAAATCAATGATTTTGAGAGTTTAATGACAATCTCAGTTCAGCGGTAACAATAAGTGTGGTAACTAACGTCAAATAAATATATTTTGTTATTATTTGCTTAATTTCTGTATATTTACCTTACATTACAATTGTTATATCAAAAGTTATAGACTATATAGTTAAAGATTATATAAAATTTTGAATAAGGTTTTCAAATAATCAAAAAAGTGGACAATAATGGTGCAGGGAATTTTAGAAGAAATTCGCTGTAAAGATCATATTATTTAATTCGATGATCTTATTAGAATGCGTGATTATCGACTAATTAAATAAAACTTGAAGTATTTTTAAGATTGACAGCTCATAACAAACAAACGTTATGTAACACAACTCTATACTTTGGGTCATTAGAAATACCATGGCTTTATCTTCAATTTATATATTCAATGATCAAATTGTCTATCATGGTTGTCCAGTACTTAAATAGAAGGTGAATACTATTCTTTACCAGGTCGTATTTTATTGCTAATTTTTTACAGATTATGAAACAAACCAAAATCAGTGGGCCCATTTATAATCAATTTGTTTATTTAACGATCTAATTAGCTAGCATGATTGTCACGAAATTAAGGATGTGAAAACACGTCTTTTCAAGCTATAGCTATTATTATATTGCTCAACTTTACAGATTATAATACTAATGGTGTATAATACAACGCTATCATTTGAAATATCATAGTTTCATCTTGATTTTGATATTCATATTCAATAGTTTGTGTGGTTGACGAACAAATAAATAAAACGTAAAGGCAGCGCATTTTCAAGTTTGACAGCGTATAACAGGCAAACGTTAGGTAACACAACTCTATAATTCAGGTATATTTAGTTATCTAATTACCTAGCATGGTTGTGTAAGTAATGAAATAGGAGGTAAAGGCACTTCTTTCAAGCTGGTATTTTATTGCTCAACTTTTACAGCTTAAGCGAATAATATACAACTTTATAAGTTTATTGTAAAATCCATAATTTTATCTTCAGTTTACGTATACATTTAACTAATTAGATTGTTGAGTATTTAGTAAAAATCGCAATATATCAATCAATTATTGACTTCCATAACAATTGTTACATAAAAAGATACGCGAAGGAATGCCGTTTCTAATGTCATAAAATCATAAAATATTTGTATAATATAGTAATTACTTAGGATGTTGTCCTAGAAGACTTAATCGAGGAATGACTAAATGGGACTAAACGAGGTCTTAATATATTAGATTTTTATCAATCCTATTATTATCTAATTATTTACCAATATATTCATATCAAGCATTAATTAATTCAAGATCTTTTAAAGATAATTTAATTAATAGTACTAAATTAATGTTACAAATTTTCTCAATTTAAATTATTTGGCTTTAGTAGTTCATAAGATTCGATGACTGCGCCATCTCAGTGACCAAATCACAATTTCTTTAACAATCCTTTGTCCCTCTGTCCTTGCTGTGATGTAAGAATCCACGTGAAACCACGTTTCTTTCCCATTTTGATCTTCAAAGCACGCGGATCAGTTGACTGGAGAGTAAGAATGTTTTTTGATCAAGCGAAAGTACGAACACATCTTGTGTTAGGTAATTATTTATTTGTCAATTTAAAATGCTTATACTCTAGTATGATTTCTGTGTGATTTGTAGGTTAAATTTTACATTGCATCTATGTTTTACAGATAACGGTTGATTATTCCAATTCTCTTGCAATCTGCAATTGAGTAAGTACATTATTGTTTATTTAATTAAAATACATACAAATTATTGATAAAAAAAAATATTTTTTTTTTTGCAATATTCAAGACATGCAACTTAACAAAAATTAATTTGGTATTTTATAACTTATCATTTGATGTTTGCATACGCACATGTTTGTGAATTCATTAATTTTGGTGATGAGAAAAATGTTAATCCCTTGATACATAACTATGATAGGATTCTTATAGATAGTAGATTCTGATTTATTATATTTCCATTCCAAAAAATTGTCTTCTAGCTTTCCTCAGTTTCTAATTAAATCTATGATTATTTCCAGATAGTTTTAATCAAATGGGAATTGAGGAAAATTTGAGGCTTACAAGAGGTATGTGAAAATGTATATTAAATGTTATTTTTTAAATATGATGACATTGTATGGGATTACTTGATTTATTAAAAAATGATAGAAATCACATTGATAGTAGATCTGATTCTTATTAAAGTTTCTTTTATTATAGCTACAAAATATTTGAATCTTAACAGCTTGTTTCTACTTATTACAGATTTCATACTTCTTGTGATTCCATCAATACTTTTGGAATTCCAATGTCTTAAGGAAGAAAAGGTAAACATGCTTTTAATATTAAATTTGTAACCAAAATTTAAATTGTATGATGAATTTTATTGGGATCACTTGATTAAAATACTATGAGAGGATTCACATTGATAGTAGATCTGATTTTAATAGCTATGTTATATAAATATTAGCTTCAAAAAACATTGTTTAACAATTTCTATTTGTTGCAGACTAAGGAATCTGATTGAAAATAGATTTTATTAAATCTACTAAAAAAAAGGTAAATAAAGTTTTAAAAATTAACAATACTACATTAAAATGAAGGAATTTGGTGATGAGAAAACAGACTAATCCCTTGATAAAATACTATGAGAGGATTCAAATAGATAGTAGATTCTGATCAATTCCAATAGATTAATAGTAAAAATTATCCAGGTGTGCTGAAATATCTTTAATTCATATGATTTCTATTGTTTCAGGAAATCTTATTAAAGCTGAGAAAATATATTAAGAAACAGGTAAGAATAAAATAAAAATGAATAATTTATTAAATAACGCTAAGCGAATTTGGTGATGAGAAAACAGACTGATCCCTTGATTAAATACTATGAGAGGATTCAAATAGATAGTAGATTCTGATTAATTTCTTAAAATTAATTAATACTGACCATATTGGGACAATAGTGATTAATGAATTTACTATTAATTACAGAGTTTACATTCAACCAGAAGATTTTAATGGATAATCAAATTTTGAAGTGGAGAACTTATTTCTAGGTAAGAATAATGAATTATCTCATTAGATTTTTTATTATTTGGTATTAACATAATTTTATTGTGTGATGAGATTAATAAGTCAGTAAGTTTTTACTGTTAAAATACTAAACTTTAAAGGTAGTTTCTATAACACTTTCATGATGTTCTTTTGATCGAATTAACGTAAAAGTATCCGCACGAACGTACAATGAAGTAGGCTTCTATTCACGATTAGTGTGAATATTTATATGATGTATACTTATTGCTAAATAAATTGATTTGCCGTGAAATAATATTTTGATTTGGTTATGTTTTTACAAGAATTTGTTTTATCTATAATTAATGTAATCTTTTTGAAATTTGAATATTTAAAGTTGGGGTATTATTTTTTCAGGTAGTTGGTAGAGCTGGTCCAATTTTTTAGTTCGTTGCTACATTCGCTGCGGAAGGATATCGAGTGGTTGAGGGAGACGCAACAGAAGAGCAGCCATTTTCGAAAGTCGTCGCCGTAGAAAGCGACGAGACCAAGTGCAGCAAGCGACAAGAGTGTCGTGACCGTAGAACTTGGGGCGACTCTTCCGTGGCCCCAACACCTTCAGTAGTGATCAGTTTCAGTGTCAACCCTTTTCCAAGAATTCAGATCCGAAGACCGACACCGTTCGCGTCGATTTCTTTCTCCGCTGACGTGATCTAAACATGGCTTTCTAAGATGTCTTCGCAACTGTTATCGTTCGTCGCTCCTAAAGGAGACTCCAACGTTTTGTCGTCCGTGACTCAGACTGGACGAGATGGAAAGGAAACCGAGAAACCTGGCAGGCAGCTCCACAAAGCCCTTCGGGACTGACAAGAAATCCTCACAAGGTTAGTTCCTCAACGTGCATCAGACAGAGACGCCGACATATGTAAATAAATGTATTACGCAACGCCATCAGCGGCAGCGACTTTGACCAGCGCGCTCTATTTGTAGATTATTTTCATGACCTAGATCTTGTATCTCTTTTCAACCTATGACAATCTCTTTTTTTTTAATTTATTTTTATCTTATCACAGATGTATCTTCTAAGCTGTGGCCACGTGGGGGACGTCGCAGGGAACCACAAGCCGGCAGTTATGCCAAGTCAGAGCAGCCTCGGAAACCCGCACCGCAGCGATCCAAAATTCTCGTCGACAAGAGGCCGAGGCCTAGGGGGGAGCAACAGCAGCCCAATTATGGTGGAAAGGAGGCAACCCGGTTAACCGGCGATTACCTCTATCAGGATGAGCCTGAATTGGGATCAGTTTTCATTGCAGGAAGCAAAAAGCAGAGCCTCAACCACCTGCTGAACTTCCACTATGCCCCTAGGGAGTTGCAGCAACAACAACAGCAGCAGCAAAGAGGTGGCCATAAGGGTCATCAGCATAAGCTGCTTACAACTGGCAAACACAAATACAACAAGGAACATTTCATCCAAGCCAAGTATGCACTGCTTACTGCAACTAGAGCTTAGTAAATGAAATGTATTTTGATTTCCAGTTGTCAATTCATTGTCAATACATCAGGGGATTATAAGCAGTACATGAACAATCCTGATGCACTTGTTGATTGGACCTTAATTGAGCAAATTGTAAGTGATTATCAATTGAATTAATTAATTATAAATCTTTTTTTTTAATTTATCTTAAATTTTTCTACCTTATGAATCAATTATATTCTTTAATTTACGTTTTTCTCTCTTAGAATATCCAAGTTCACGAGTTGCCTACTTGTCCCATATGTCTGTATCCGCCAGCGGCAGCCAAGATGACCCGTTGCGGTCATATCTACTGCTGGTCATGCATGCTCCACTATCTGGCACTTTCAGAAAAGACCTGGAGCAAGTGCCCCATATGTCATGAGGCAATCCACAAGAAGGATTTGAAAAGGTATTTAAAATGGCATATATATCATCATAATAGTGATGCATAGACTCATTGTATTTGTAGATCCCTTCATGATCTATAGATTGAGTGTTATGCAAGAGCAATGTGAGGATAATTAGCTTAATGAAGTAATTATATTTTTTTAAGTCAGTCCCCTGTACTACATTTATTTATCTACAATGCTTTTTACTTTTGCTTGTAATAATCTGTTATTTCCAGTAATAATATATTTGAATGTTGTTTATAGCGTCGTTCCCATATATCATTCGTCGTTTGGAGTTAATCAGAGCATAACGTTCAAACTGATGAAACGAGCCAGAGGTTCATTGGTCGCCTACCCGTTCGAGCAGGAAATCACCGGCTTCGAGGGGATCTTCAGCGTGTCCGATCCGCAAGCAAAAGACGTTAACACTAAACTGTTATTGGCCGACAGGACCTACATCAAGGAGATCATCGACCGAGAGAAACGACATTTGGAGGGGCAACTTGCGCCAGATAATCCAGAAAATTGCTTCATCGAGGAGGCTATGCAGTTACTCCTGGAGCGCGAAACGCTTGTGTCAAGTATAGAGGAAACGGTGGAGAAGGAGGACAAAGTAAAGTCCACCGAGGACGATAAAGTTCTAGACTGTGGATACGAAGGCGCAGAACAACAGCCAGTCAAGCATTTCTACTTTTACCAAGCTCAAGATGGTCAGCACATCTATTTGCATGCTATCAACGTAAGGATGCTAGAACATACCTATGGCACTCTGAAAGATGCACCGAAGGTGTTGACCGGGAGGATTATCGAGAAGGAGGGTGGTTCCATGACGGAGGAGTTGAGGAATCGTTTAAGATACCTGCAGCATATGCCAGTAACCTGCCAATTTGAGGTGGCAGAGATCAGCCTGAATCCTTCAATCATCTGCAAAGATACAATTGATTTCTTCAAAGGTAAATATTAAAATTAAACAAGTAAAGATGAATTTAATACTCATGAATTAATTTTAATTTACCAGATCAACTAGAATCTAGAAGAAAGAAACGCCAAAGAAGGATGCGCGACGAGAAGAAGCGTGAGAAGCGCATAGCTGAAGAAGAAAATCGTCAAATGGGAAAATTCCCAGCAGCCAATATAGAATTGGAATCGCATCTTCAATTTCCCGAATTTGGAGCGGAGGGCGTCATTGCAAAGGAGCGCACCGTATCCGAATCGAGCAACGTCTCCGACCGGACTTGCGATACTGCGTTATCTGTGGCCGGAAGTGAAAGCAGCTACTCAGGTCCATCTTTCGCCAAGGTTAGTCTTAAAAAATACATCATTAAATGTAACATTTGCAAGTCTCCAAAGTGTTGAGTACACATTAACTGAAATTACTTGATAGTTCTTGTGAAATAGATTCTTTGGGAAATCAACTGATACAAGAACTTTAAAATTGACTTAAATTTGCTGTTTAAGTCAATACACGTTTTTGTAACTACATATTATCTTTATTCTTATAATCTTCAAATTAATATCGTAATCAGTTACTTAATAAGATTGTTTCGACTTTGTTTAGATGTTGTCCAAAGCTTCAACATCAGCTCCCGCGAGAGCCCATAATGCCGTGCCCTCGATTCGTCTTATCAATGTAACGGGGGCACAAGCACCGGTTCCAAGGAGAAGGACCCAAAGCGACAGCGAGCCCGAAAGTGAGGACTACGCTCCAGCACCAGAGTTTAACAGGAGCTTCGGCGATGCCATCGCTCTAGCTTTGCAACAATCAACAATTGCAGATGTTAATCCAAATACCGGTTAGTTAATTAATTTATTATTTGTAAATTCTTGATTATTTATTTAATTGTTTTTTTTTTTGAAACAGATAATGGAAAATCCGGCAAGAAGAAGAAGAGGAACAAACAAAAGATTTTATTTGCAACTTCCATGGCGTATTCCGGCAATTAACCGTTTCGTTTATTTTTATTATTATTTTTTAGTGAATTAAGTTTGTCACTAATTACTACTTTCGATTAAAAAAAAACTGTCAGATCAATTAGAATTTTAGTTTAGCAGCTGCAGAACAATTTTAAGAAAGAAAACATGTATTTAGCACATTAACATTGGATGAGGGTGGTAATAATCAGCGACGAATAAAATAATTTGTTTATTTACAATGTAAAATATTTTATAATTATGTATATATGAGATGCATGTGATTTTATTATTGAAAACAATTATTTTGATGCGCTTATGAATGTGATCTTTTTTCTCCTTTTATTTTTTCATATAAACATTAATTTCCTAGCCTTAACCGTCCTTTTATGTTCCAATTTGAGAATGTTTTGAATGATGATTAAGTTTGTTCGAGTTAATTATTTAATCGATCATCGATGACACGAGTATAAGTAGGGGATGTAAAATGGTGTTGAGGCTGGTCGCGTCGGGCAATTGATTTTTGCGAAGAACTCCATATTGGGAAACATCAACAGGATGGAGTTGCCTAGCATGCATTGGAGCATCATCAGCAGATTAAATTTGCGATTAGTGTTCCGGACTATCATCAATGGGAGGGAGATTAGCATCGAGAGCGAAAAGACTGGGCACATTAACTTGGTCACGTAAATGAACAACACCTCGTGCATGACGATGGATAGCATAAAGACTGAAAGCCGGGCCGTCATCTTGTTGCCTATTGTCACGTATTTGTAAAAATCTCTGTAGACATAATAAAACAGCCAATCTTGTACGATCACGTTCCAGGTGGTATAGAACTCTGAGAGGTTCGTGGAAGTCCACCAATCCTGAAAACAAAAACACTTTGTTTATAGGAGATGTTCAACATTTTGTAGCGAAATATTCAACCTTGTGGAATTGCCGATCTCCGAATCTGGTAATTTCAGCAAACGTATTTTGCGAGGAATGCAGCGAAATCTGCGCTAAAATTGTTGCAAAAATGAAGGAGTGTACGCTGAATGTTGCCAATGTGTAAACAATATCTATCAACGTAAACGGTTTAGTACCGAAATTGTACAAGTGTTGGATGATCTCTGTTTCCAGTAAGCTGAGGAAGTAGACGGATAGAATTAATTCCATAAAGTATTTTCCTACAGTCCTCCAACTCCTCGTTGGCGTTCTGAAAATACAATTCTTAATTTCATTTTCTTTCACATATCGCGTTTAATACCTAGGATATTCGTTACGGTAGATTAAAGTTGGTGCAAACGAGAAATAGAGGAAACTCCGAAAAGTTGATGACTTCTTTCCTGTTAAAACCTGCTCACTGGACGTCCTCACGAAAGCGTAGTTCTTCATAAGGAATCTCGTCTGCACAGAATAAGAACAGTTATGTAAACGATATTATTATATTTGATTATACAAAGCAAACCTGCTCCGCCAAAACCGCAGCAAACGAACCCATAGGTAGCTCCAGCTGGATTGCCTTCTTCGCCACCATGTGGAACGTTCCGAAAAGCGCCACGAAGAAAACCGATAACCAAATCACATCCCACAGTGATTTCACTGAAACAAGCAAAAATAGTTATACATCAATACTGCGATTAATCAATTCTGCATTGTTTGAAACCGAACTAGATAAAATATAGATAGATATTAATTTAATTTCTATATTTATTTTGCTGAATTAGTATTTAGTTTTATTTGCAATTTTCAAACCTGACTACAGGTGCATACTGGAAAATTGATCAATTTAAAACGAGAAAAACATAATTACCTCTTCGCGCAATTTCAATTGAATCAACAAGCGATGATTATTAATTTCAGATAATTAATAATGGGAAACATATTAACTTCATCGCGGAAAATAATTTTATTGCGTAATTATGAGTTTACCTTCTCTATTAAATCAATTATTCCATAAGTGGCATGATTTTCTAAAAATAAAATAAATAATTTAAACGCAAAACAGTTTGTTAACATCATGGCAATAGGTTGGCATATTATTTTTATATGCAATAACTATAAATTATTACATTGGCGATAATAAATTGTATATAAATAAATGTGAATGAAATGAAACTTCTTTTAATCAATTATATCGTTTTTAACGACTATAATGATCGGAACCGAGGTTTTTGTGATTGTTTACTATGTTTCATTATTTTTATTAAAATTAGCTTACTTTTCTTAAATTATTTAATCAAAGTAGGTTTTGAGCGAGTTTATTAGTAAATATTATCAATTGAATGATAATGTATTAAAAATAGAATTACAATGCTAATTGATAGAAATACAGATCGCTCTATATTTACTTAGATATGAACTTATGTAATGATTAGCATTTAACGATAATGAATTTAAACGGATGATTTGTAGAATTTGCTGATTAAACAATTTTATATTTTACATTATGATTATTCGTTTAATTTAAAATTAAATATATTCATTGAGGAGGAAATGATGTTTGTGGAGATAAATATAAGAAAAGTAAGAAATAAATACTGGATCAATGTAAATATGTTGTGAATAATAACATTTGCGTAATGTTTACGTTATCCTCTGCATTGACGGAAGATTTCAAAACTGGATATGTCATGGAAAACACAATTTGTTAACCGGTTTATTTTATTTTACCGAGAAACTAGATTTTATTAAAATTATATCTTGTGGAAGAACTATATGACTTTAAACTTACTCGTATCCATCGGCGTCCTAAACTTGTACCAAATCTTCCAACCGAAGTAAAATGCGACATGAGCGCCGAACATTAATATCCACATGGCGATGGCCAGTGGAAATTTCCCGAAAGCCATGCGAATCCATCGCAGCCCCAATTCGCTCCTTGAAAGATTGAATAAATAAGAAAATAAGACTTAAAAAGTGAAAATGTTAGAAAACTTAGAATTTGGGTTGCTGTTGATAATTTAAACAGACCATGGTCAGTGAGATTTATCAGATTTATTCTGTTATTATTATTTTTTGGGATAAATAGGTATTACTTACTGTCCGCCGTAGTAGATATCGTTGATGGCGTTACGGATGGCCAGGAGGATGAAGGCACTGATTGCCAGATTTTGAACGCTCTTCACGTGTTGGATCTTGTACACTTTGGTGAGTATAGATTCGCGAATCTCGAAACGCTTCTCCGGAAGATCCGGCCTTGACTTTTCTACCTCCTTTGACGGTGGCAGCGGCTGCATTTTGGTGTGTGTCTGTGTTTTTCTCCCCACTTGTCTATCGACGAGTAACTACAAACTTTTTCGGCCCCGTTCCGAATGTAGACTGATAACAAATGGAGCGCACTCGATCCAATATCGAAACAATCCCACCACATCTCATTCTTCTACAATCTATCTCTCTTCCTCTCTGTCTTCCAGTAATTGGACTATAAAGACTGATTCATATCTCTCTTATTCACGAAGCAAAATAAGAACAGAATTGTGAATATGTGCGTACCAATACAAGAAGAGTAATTCCGAGTGCATTTGAACTGGCGTATGATGGAGTGCACCAGCACTTGCCTTTTATTTCCTCGTTAACTGATATAATTTGATGCGGACTTGAAATACTATGATACGCACGCGTTTATTAATCAAATGTTAACATCTTCTTCAAATATGTTTTGCATTTGGAGGAAATATGCTTGACGTTTCTGATTGGAATTGACCGAATAATGGTTTTCATGATGACCATGTGGTAAAAAAAAGTACAGGTTAAATATATTATTAAGTAGTCAAACGCGAAATACGAGAGCGATATCATCAGCTGGAATGTTAAGAACATTGTGCGTACTAATAAAACACAAAGAAGATGAGAAGAATCTTACAGCAGCAAGAAAATGAAATTATTTCAATGTTTGGACAACCGTAATGCTGCTCTGCTAAGAGATTATCTATTTTAGAATTCCGTTTGTTACATTATCAATGCAAAAGTTGCAGAAAAATGTTTGATCTAAAATAACGAAATTACTTTTCGAACAAGCAAATATTTCGTTGCTACTGCTTCATATAAATACTTCGTCACTATTGCATAAGCAGATAAAAATTTATCATTTAAATGAGCTGAACGTGAATTTGGATGATTTGAGTACACTATGCTGTTCATGATGCAAAATAAGAACAGATTTGTGAATACCTCTGCTAAGAGATTATGTATTTTACGATGTTGTTTGTTACATCAATCAATGCAAAAGTTGATTGTTTATCTGAATGACAAAATAATGGTCTTGAAAGTTGCAATTTTGAAATTGCTTGATAGATAGCGAAAAGTTAAAAAATGATAAATTACGTCTTTTAATTTGTTTTCAAAATACGAAATTACTTTTCGAACATGCCAATATTTCGTTGTTACTGCTTCATATAATTACCTCTTTGCTATTGCTTCAGCAGATAAAAGTTTATCGTATGATAAAATGTCCAATATAACGATGAAGATAACCTGGAAGAACTGCTTCTCTTTCGTTCGATGGCCTAAAGTTCCAAATTGACTATCTTGAATACAAAAAACAGAAATACTCTTTTTTTACAAGTTTATTTCTCCTGTATATCTTGATTACTGCAAATAATCTTTATTTCTACATTTTGAAGATTCAGCAATCAAATTTTCCATTTGTAGAATAAATTGTTTATTAATTAGTGTTTTTTTTTAAATTTTATTTATTTGCATTCATTAATTCAAAACTATTCATCAAGTTAATTGAATTAATTTACATTTTTTTTATAGGATTACTAATAGGGTTATATTTTTTTTTGATTTGACTAAGGGATGGAAGGGAAAGCATTTTTTATATATATATATTTATGATTATAGACTTTAGACGACTAGATGTGAGACGTCCGGTGTGTAAGCTGGAAGGTATCTGGGCACCGGTTGGACGCCGGCGTCGTCGCCTCTCCTATACCGGATATCAGAGTCTCCGGGCCACGCCCTTTCCGGTCCACCAATCCTCTGGTACTTGTCCACGACCAGGGAAATCGTGGTCGGATCGTTGACACCGTTTGATTTGATCCTGCGCTGCGTGGCCAATGATTGACGCAAGTTCTTCCGCTTCTGCAAGAACATAGATGAACGGTTAGGAAAGAAATCTGGAAACGTCCATATCAATTACGGAAACCTCCACCGCTCCCCGCCATTTATCGGCGGCGTGTCTGGCGAGATCAAGCCGCTTCTGCTTCTTGATCTGGTGCTTCTTGTAGGCCATCTCGATGACTATGAGGATGATGCCGCCGGCTATACCCACTGCTACGAGGAAGAACACCCCGGCCATGTTCTTCAAGCCTAGGGTGTTCGGCGTCTTCTCGAACTGCTCGCATTGCTGCAGGTTGCCCTGAAGGATCCACTTGTTGTCCAGGCTCTCCATGAAACCGCCTATTTTTGGTACAAAAAGAAAATAAAATTATAGTGCAAAAGGTCGCGCTGATAAATAGTTCTTATCAGGTTGAACGGCCGTCCATGAACTCTACGCATTAAAGAATGTCGTATACGTACTCTCGTGAAAATCTAGGATAGCTAGAGTAACATCGTCCGACCAGGGACTGCTTTTCTGCAACCCAATGCCGTAACCAGATCTTCCGAAGAGTTCACCAGCTGTAACCAGCTCACAATCCTGCGCCGCTTCGAACTCCAACCTCGAGCTGTCCCAGATGAAAGCCATCAGTTTCCTGCGATTCCGATATTTTAAGATTAATTATACTTTATACTTTTGATTAATTTCTTCACCCGTGTTTAACATCAGTTATAGCTTCTTCGGCGGTTGCGTAATTATTGGATTCCATGGTGCGGTACATGTTGGATAACTCGACCTGCCTCCTAAAGTACATATCCACTGCAGATCCCTTGACGGTAGCGCACGTGAGATTTTCCATTGTGTTACGCAACTGTAAGAATAATGAATAATTAGTATTGAATTTGCGATAAGTAAGATTGTTTCTTGCTCTGGCATCGTTGATTCCAGTGAGCTTGGTCTTCGGCCTCTCGAGCACGAGGAAGGCAGCCAAGTTGGCAGTGTACGAGGCGACGATGATCATGGCGAAGCCTGCCCAAACCATGCCGAGGACACGGGCGGAGAAACTTCTCGGTGTCCCTGAAACATAATGTTTCTTTAAGTCTAATAAAGAAGAAAACACTCCAGGGTTTTGGAAGAAGCACCTTCTCCGATGCCGCTGTTGAGCAGGACGCCCCACGCGAACCAGATGGCGCTAGATAAATTCAGTGCGTCCTCCTCGGTGCCATCCGTGTTGGCCAATTTGAATCGACCGAATGGAGAAAAACGGTCCAGAAGGTACAGCACCAAAGCTACGACGTGCACGGATACCATCACAAGAATCCAAAGGGTGTTGCTGAAGGGTTGCAGGAAAGACACCAACGTGGACGATCTCGATGGTTTTTTCTCGAGAATCGTGATTCCCTGGTATTTGAATGGTTTGCTGAACTCAATGAACTCCGCTCGTTCTGGATTGATAGTTAACGGGGCGACGATCATATCCGCCCTTTCCATCACCAATTCACCGATCAATCCGGTCCACTCTTTTTTATCTAAATGATATTAAAGAAAATATTAAGAACTTTGTTGATGAAAAAATGGTTAAGTACTTGAGCTGTTCTTGGGTACGTAATTTCCGAACTGTCCATCGGGCGATAGAGCTAAGCTGTACGTGAAATTAATCTTCTTCGATAATTCCTTCAGCAGATCCATGCAGAAACCTTTGCAACAGTATTTACCGGTTTCTGAAAGTCAAACAAATATTATATTTGTTTCGATTTTTAAATTGCCTATTTTGCACCGTCTTGCGTTGCATTGAAGAGCGGACAAGGTATCTCATCCGGGAGACACTCCTCAAGCTCTCCCAGCTTTCTAGTGTAGACGAACGGTTTTTCCTCGATGGTCAGCACCTTCAGATGTGTGGGGATCATGAAACCCTCTGGTTTTGTCTGCAACCTTCCCGGCCACACGATGCTCTTCTCGTCAACCGACAAACCCATTTTGTCGGTCTCCTAAAGTCATATTATTTAATCAGTTTGTTTATCTCAAGAATTAAAAAAAAAACTCACTTTATTGAAAAAGTATTTTCCGACCGGGTTCTGTTTCCGTCTGCGTTGCACGTTCACAATATTGTACTCGGCGTGGATCCTATCGCCCTGATCATCAAAGGCCACCTTTCCGGTCTCCCCGTTAAGAAGCACCTGCCGTTTGATGTAGCCGAACAGCTCCTTCCCGGTCTTCCAGATGGATCCAGAATTGTCGCAATCTTTAGGCGCCTCCGTGATCTCTTCCGTCTGACTCATGTCCCTCAAGGCGGAGGCCAGCACGTATCTATAGCAACAATCCAAGTGTTATTAACAATGAAGCAATCTGATTTAAATTAAGTTTACATGCTGTCCCTGATGTGCGCTTTCTCGTTTGTCGCATTGACAAGGCGAAGACCGAGGATTCCTTCCGGTGCATTCTCCGCTTCGAGCGCCTGTTCCGTGACTATCCAAGCGTATCCGGCGTCCGTCATGTTCATGGTGGCGGCGTCGCGGAAGATTACCTTGGCGTCGGTTTTACTGCTTAAAACAATTGAAGAAAAAAAACAAAGAAACAAAAGATCGAATATTGTTACCTGGCGTACATAAGGTAGACCCTGGCCTGCGCGTTTTTGATCTCGTTCAACTGTTCGGCGAAGTTCTCTACGCCCGGTTCGAACTCTATGATGGATTCCACCTGCACCTTGATCTCGATGTCATCTTCGAGGCTCTGCGAAGTCGTCTGAAATCTACCTAGAATCGCGCGACCATCGGTGTCCGAGCTGTGGATGAAGATGACCTTCTTGTAGTTGAAGTGTTTAAGCATCTCCACCCACACGTCGGCTTGATGTGAGTACGGTGGCACGGTTCTCAGAAAAGATACATGGATGTTCTGCAAATGTTATCGTGAATTACTGGTATTGCTGAGGGATATTTAAGCACCTTATCGGAGAATGCGGAATCTCTGGAAGAAATACCGATCACGGGTATGTGGTAAAAGCCGCTGGTGTAGGACACCGCTGCAGGTGAGAGGTCACCGGTTAGCGGATGCGAAACGACCACGGCGTAAACCTTAAATGGAGAATGATAAATATGATGATTGATAATATTAACTATTTAATTTACCCTCTCGGAAATGAGATATTTGCAGACGTTGAGGGCCGTGCGTATAGGATTTGGGTCCATGGGGATGGCGATGTCGTAATAGGTGACTCCTTTCGGCACATACTGGGTATTGTAGTTGAGGTACTGCAAGCATATGTTAGATGTAAAATGTGTGTAAAGGTGTGATGTGGGTGGGGTCCGTACGGCAATCGTCTCCTTGAAGTAATTCTCGCTGGAGTTGTTGCTCAATACTCCACCGATGTTGAACACCGAAGGATTCGGCGTGGACCATTGGGCCTGGACAGTGGGTGGACCCAGAAGGATCCAGGCGGAGAACGCCAACAACAGCATCCTCTCTCGTCACTGCTCGACGGAACGGCGCTCCATCTCGCACTGAGATAATACCATCCCCCCGTAGCAACGCGACACCGCACCCACCCCGTGTTGCCCTGGAAACCGAGAGATGAAATCGATTTTCATTCGCCGCGACCTACCGCATCTCAAATTCTCCTCATCCATCTTCAAAACAAATAAACAAAACTAACTGTACTACCTCACTAAACTCTCCTATAACGCTTTACTTTCATAATGCGGTTTCCATATAAAAAATTGAGAGAGTACTCCTGTAAAGTTGTTTATATTTAATATAACTTAATTAACTTGACTTTCATAATATAAGACAATATTCTTTAGAATCTAAAGTTTAGATGAAGATGAATTTATATCATTAATTGATATATCTATCAAAAAATGTATAGGTAGATGAAAATATGGATAAAGAATGAATTGAAAACTTGAATTTGATAATAGACTTGATTTTGGTAAATAAATTTTCTTATAACGCGATTTTCATAATACGCCAATTTATCGCGTTATTGAAGGGTTGACTATTATAATAATTAGTGATAGTAGTAACAGGTAGATTAACTAATTAATTAATTATTCGGCTAATTATACAATTACATGTGAGACCGGACTCTTAATTAAAATCATCTTTTTGACCGCCAATACACAAAAATAAATAAAAAATAACAAATTCCGGCTTCACATAATATAATACCAAATTAAACAGAGCTTGAAACATTCAAACAACAAAAATGTATAAAAAATAAATCAAATAAAAAATAACTGCAAAACTTGACGTCGGCAGAAGCAACAGTTTATTCTCGATTGAAGACCACATAAAATATCTTCGACAACCGCAAAAAAGAATCCCTACATCACGAGACAAAGTTGTTTAGCTGAATATTTTAGAAACCTCTTCTAAAGCATAAGAAAAATAAAAGTAAATTGAAGCTTTTTTTAAATCAATTTTTTTTTTAAGAAAAATGAAATAATAATTGTAAATTATATGGGTTTTCCACATTGGACCATTGAATTAATTAATATTTTTCTTTAGTACAATTTAAGTAAAAGTATTTTGTGTCCTTGTATTCACTCAAGCACACTGCGTATACAACAACTCGCATTCAGTTTTTTTTAGTCTCTTTACTCAAAGCTGATAATTTTATTTTCTTGTTTCTTTGTTTTTTCATTTCAGCATATGCTAATTTTGTTTGACAAAAATCTTCAACTTGAAAAATGATTGACCTTACATATAAATTAATTGAGCAAAGTAAATTATCGACTGAAGCAACTTTTCGAATAAAATGAACAAACGACATACAACAGCTAAAAGTAATTTTGAACTATATTATTAAATGATGAACTATATCTATATTTATCTATACTGAATTAATGTGGATAGAAGTGATTTTGTGCAATGCCAAATTTCTAACTGAGCCTAGAAAGATTTCTACGTTGTTATCAAGGTATTAAACTTTGGAGATCTGCATGCAACTTTAGCATAGACATCATCCAGAGATTTCAGTCAAAAACGTTGAAGTAATTCTCCCTGGTTCACCACCAATGACTCTATCCACCAGTCCACTGGTATAGCCTTCGTTTAAGAAGAATTTGCAAAAGCCAGCACCAGATATTGAATCATCCGAATCAACTTGCTGTAGAGCTAGATGGCAATCTACGTAGACTGAAACGATTTCAACCGTACGATCTTCCTACTCGTTTCTGATGTAATGTACTTTGTTTGTTATTTGTTTATATTTTATGAGTGTAGTTTGGTCATTGGATCAATCTGCAATATTGTTCATTTCCTTTATCTTTAGCCAGAATTAAAGCATATTGTTATTTTCTTTGTGTTGTAATAGCTTGCTTGTTATCAACGTATTAATAACGTTGAAATGTAGAAGGAAGAAGCAATATTGTAAAACAATTAAGACGATACAAATAAACAAAAGCTAATTATTATTATTATTTAGCCAACAATTATAAAATAATGAATTAATTTGCAAAAGTTCAATGCCAATGGGTGAATGACGCCATCTGCGACCATGGGTTGTTGTTGTGCGGCGGATAGTGGGAAGCGGATGCTGCGACTGCAGCCGAAGCCGCCGAAAGGGTGGCCTCCTTTGCAGCAGACGCCTGCTTCAAAACTGTAGCTTCCGAACGCTGCAACGCCGCCAATTTCGCAGCAGTGTGTTCTGAAATTAAATACGATTAATTAAAACTTAATTTCGATTGACAAAAATTTGATTCGTACCGGATTTTTGAATTTCTGCAGCCGCCGCCGAAGCGCTCTTCTGAATGACGTGAGCGGCGTGCGCTTCTTTCGCAGCAGCTGTCCTCTGGTGCTCCGCCACCTCGGCTTTGGCGTGAGCGAGCCTCCTCTGCGCGAGAACCACGGACGTCGCTGCAGAGTTAGCTTCCTGCCGTTGCACCGCCGCCGCCGCTTCCGCCTTTTGCGCCGCAATCGCAGCGTTCGCCTCCTTCATACTCGCGATCCTCTGACGATCCAGCACCGATTCCTTGGCCATCTGCACCCGGCGTTGCGCATCCATCACCTGCTCGGACGCCTCTTTGGCTGCGGAAATCGCAGAAGCTATCTCCGCCGGAGATACAGGTGGATAATAGTTGCCGCCTTTGTGCACCTAAAAATAAACAAATTAATCAAATACTTTCATAGAATTCTTGAAATTCGCATTACCAAGACGGGTTTCGTGAACACGACGGATCCGGGGAATTGGTTGAAGTCATGATGTTCCTCGAAGATCGAACGTTTCACCGTCTCGCTTCTACTTCCGGTGCACACGGAAATTAGCAGGAAAACGGCGAAAATCTGCACTCAAATAATATATAAACATTGATTTAAAATATATTTTACGTTTTTTTTACCTTAATGCAGAATGAAGTCATCTTGGTGGATTGAACCCGATCGACGATGTGATGATCGGTGCATCTTTGTCGCTCCTTTTTATATGTCTACAATTAATTAGGTGAAAGACAATCCAGTCACGATTAATTCTTGAACGGCAGAAAAGCAACGTCGGCCCTTTTTTTATTATTGTTGTCATATTTATTTACAATCTATTCAGTCTATTTATACGCGATTTACTATGCATGAAATTTACAACCAACTGGAAACTTTCATTTGCAATTTACGAGCTGAAATACACTATTAAAAAACAACTAATTACTATTTAAGACTAGATAGTAAGTTTTAAATAGTATCTATAGTCCAATCAATTATTTCACAATATACAGTGGAACTCCAATATTCATCATTAATCTGTTTATGAAGGGGGGACGAATATTAAAAACGATGAATATCAAACGAATTATTCCCATAAGAATTAACAAACACACCGTTCGAGACTGAGCTAGTCAACAGACGAATATTGGAGTATTTATTTTTCTATTTCTTGGAGGAATGTATAATGACAATTTGTTATCTTAGATGACAGGAAATTGTAAAATTGTGTATGAAGGATTTTTTTAATTAGATTAATCTATTACTCAATAATTTACATATGTGCTGTACATTAGATTAGTTTTTGATGTGTCACCAAATAAATGTCACCAAATAAATGTATCATGTAAACGCGGTGATACAGACACAAATGATGCTGTGCTCTGGTCGCCCAAAATTGGCAATTGTTGCAATCGTAAATTGAAGTTGCGTGAGATAGCTGACATCCTGAATATATTAGAAAGTAGTGCATTTACCATTTTGCATGAACATTTGATGAATAAAACCTGTTCGAAATGGTTCAAGCTCAAAGTGGACCAAAAACAACAACGAGTTCATGATTCCGAGAATAAATAATTTATTTTGAAAATAGTTTATTGTTTTATTTCAGATAAATTGATAATTACAAGTATGTAAATTTGTATAATATATGTAAAATAACTTAATTTCTTTAACGTTTGCGGTTTGCAGAAGCTATATTTCGGTTCAATACCCAATAATAAGTATTTAGTCTTATATTTTATATTTATTTTGAGAAATCCTTATTGGTAATAATTTTAATTTTAAAACTTCACGGGAATACCCGAGCGGTATATCCTCTAGCAATAAGCATTTAAACTACGTCAACTAAATGTCTGGTTGTTGATCAAGTATTTGTAATGGATTATTTTGATATTTATAAAAAAAATACATTCATATTATTGTTTCTTGTTTGTATTTTGTTCGTATATAATTATCAGATACTTTTTAGGACAACTTGTTGCATTAGTCTAAACTTAATTATTTAATCTTCCAGTTTTATTATTTGGAATAAATTTATGAAAGACAAAAATCGACATTTCACATATTTTATAAGTTTATTCATTTTTTAGGTAATTAGGGTTATAAATAGGGTTATATATAATAATAAATTTTAGAATATAGACATATCCATGCTTTACAAAATATAATCTACAAAATTCAATTTGACAGATGATCACAAACAAAATAATGAAAAAAGAAACAAAGAACTGTTAAAGTTAAATATCAGAGATGTCGTGTATCAAACTTTGCACTTGAGTTAATAGAACATTTCATACTTAATGACTCAATAATTAATAAACTCATTATCATAATTGTCTACATCTGGAATTTGTGTATTGGTTAATTGGTAAATAATTTAAAATTGAAAATTGTATTATTAGAATGAGCATTCTCATTCATATCATTTTTTTAATTACATTTAATTTCCGATAAATATATATATGAGAATGAAAACATGATGTTATGCAAGTAATTATGAGGTATTATTATAACGAAATAATTTATACTTTTTTTTATCAAACCCTTCTTTACATCTTAAATATTAATAATTATATTCACTCTTGGTTTTTCCTCTCATAAATCAGCGACAAATGAGCTTCTTATTTTTTTATATCAGTATCTGATGTAATATACATATTTTTTTACAATATCACGTTTGGTTTATCTTGTCCGAATGTATTTTGAACTCTGTTGTTATTATTATTAGGATGGAAGACTGATTAACAAGCGTCTGCAAAAATAATCAATCATTGACTCAACTAATTTTCATATTGTTTTAAAAAAAAACTCATTATATGTTTGGAAATTAATCCAAATTGTTATATATTTTATTATTAAAACCAAATTCAATTAATCCGTTTTATAAACATATTTAATACGATAGATTAAATATGTTTACGTTTTATCTCTTAAAATGATAAAAACCTTTAATTATGCAATTCTGGATAACAACGAAATATTTATTAAATGCTCATATAAATTTAAAGTTATAGAATATGCCAGATATTCTATTAACAATTCTAATGCTTGAATTTCATTTTTTACAAATTTATTTAATTTAATTTCATATATTTAATTAAATTTATATAAGTAGTAAATTTAATATTGTAAATGTTTATTAAATGTTTAAATTATCGTTATTTATTATCAAAAGATATGTTGAACATTCTAATAATAACTTTACTTCATGACATTTATCATTTTTTACGAGTATTTTTACGTAAACATATTTTAATATGAATTATTAATGATTTACTTTTACAAACAATGAGTTCTTCCCGTGGTTCTACTAATTATATTAATAAATTTGTGACCTCCTAGTTTTCTCCCCAAATTTGGAAAGTGCGAAGAAATAATAACTATCGGTAAAGTAAAAGTAAAAGTTCGATCGAGCGGATCAACATCGAAACTTGTTTTTTATTTTATATAGAAAAACAATAACAAAAACAACAATAACAAACAATAGATATATGCATAGAGTAACAACAGGTAAATGGATATAAAAAAGTGTAAAAATAAACAATGTGATGGTTGTTAAATTAGTGGGTTTTGTCGGAATTTTTGGAAATGTACCATTTCTCTCTGTACACTTTCTTCACGGTCACGGGAATCTGCTGCGAGGATTTGCCCTGAATCGGTTCCGACTTGTGGCGCTGATGGTGATGGTGGTGTTTCTTGGCGTTGTAAGAAGGTTCGCGCTGTTTCTTCGCCGGTTTCTTCTGGTTGTAATTCGATTTGGTCTTGTATCCTTCCTTGTAGCGGTAGCCCATGCTGTACTTGCTGGCGTTCTTCGGTTTGTGCGTTCTGTACGAGGTGCTGGAGCCGCGATGGGAATCCTCGTCCTCTTCTTCGTCGCGCAATTTGTCCTCATCTTCGTCAGCGTCCTCCTCTTCGTCTTCAACGAACTTGTATCTGCCGAAAGGTACATCCTCCTCCTCATCTTCGTCCTCTTCTTCGGCATCTTCTTCGTCGTCCTCTTCATCTTCTTGCACTTCCTCTACGACTTTCTTGACTTCCTGCTTCGGCGTGGTGATGGGTTTCGCCGTGGTCGTGGTTAGATGGTAATTTTGGTAGGTTAAGGGCGGGAGAACTGGCGCTGGTTGTACCTTTTGAGGAAGCGGAAGCGGTAATTTGTAAGGTCTGGGTGCTAGAGGGTGCAATTGCTGCGGCGTTTGGTACATGACCTTGTTGTTGACGTAGATGTATTTGGCCGGTGTGTAATGAGGGGATGGGTTTTGTTGCTGCTGAGGAATGTAAGGAACATGCTGGATGTAAGTGCTGTGCTGCACAGGGTTGACGTACTGGCTGGGCTGGTGCTGGGGGTACGTGGGTTCCGTCACCGGAGCGTTCTGGAACTGCTGGTTTACGTGCACGTTGGAGACGGCGCTGTGCGGCGTCTGCTGATACTCGTACAGCACCTGCTGCGACGCCACCTTCGGCTCCGGCTTATTACTATAATAATTCTGTTGCGATGGTGATGGATTGTTGTCCTGGTGATGTTGTTGTTGATGGTGGTGATGGTAGAGCGTGGCGACCGGCCGGAAAGGTCCTGATTCCCCGTAGTAATGACTCTCATGGATCAATCCACGCTTCGTCTTGTTGTTGTTTTGCTCGCCGGCAAATCCGGAACGGGCCAACAAAAACACCAGCAGCTGATGAAAATATTGATTTAATTAATATTTCAAAATAAAATTAAATTGCGGTGCGAATGTCTTACTAGTTTCCTCATGGTCCTTGCTCGATCAATGGATGTGGTGATGCTGTCTGTGGGTCGAGCCGTTGGACTAGGCCTACAGTGGTCAACGCCGAAGCATTTATAGGGGTTCCATGGTTCACGCTTCGATGGTTTTGCGGTTCCTCCGGAGAAAACTGCAAGTGCAAGGTTCGCCGCGCGAAATTAATATCGCAGTCGGTGGACCAGAAGGAAATCAATCGATCAATTGCCGCCCGCATTCTCAAATTAAAGAGTTTTTTGGAGCGAGCAGAGCGCGCGGTCGAAAAAATCTGGGATTCGAAACGGCCGGCTGTGGTCAAGCTATCTATATATATAAAATATAAAGAGAATACAAAAGTGATAGAGAGAGGAGAGTCGATGGGGGTTTTAAGAGATCTGTGATGGACTTGCGGCGCGCTTCAGAAGCACCGGAAACCAGAAGTCGAAGAAGGTGTGCAAGAAGCTGAAGAGAGAGAAGATGAATGCTAGTATTCGATTGGCGGACACCCAGATTACTACTGGTCATCGTTCTTTCTCTCTCAGTTCCTTCCTTTCGTTGCGGCGAGTGAGGAAGCGGCGGTGGCGCCGTTGGAGCGCTGCTCTCGGTGCATATACTTCTTCGCGTTTCTGGGGCCTTGTCATTTAAGCCCTCTCAGTTATGAATTATGAGGAAGGCATAATAAAATATCCAAAATGGCCGAGCTGCTCGCCGAGCGCCGTCTCTCTATGATTGACTGGCTTCGAGATGACGATGATGTTGTGATGATGATGATGGTGCGTGACGACGTCGTCGGGGACGGCGGCGATGGAGACGACGGGACAACAACGGTAGACAGTTGGAGAAATCAGTCGGGCCGGTGGATCCGTGCTGGCGGGGCAGGCAGCGGCTGTCCGTTTCGTCGCATCAACTTCATCAAAGTGGAGCCGCGCGTACCAGGATGCAAGGAAGCGCAGGAGGTGCGACACACGAACTATTATAGCCGCCGCACGGAACGAGAGCGCGCGGCCGCCCGCAAACACCTCTTCCATTTCATAACATCCTGATGTTTAGACCGCCAATTTCGCGCCCAACCGTCGTCGCTTGAAAATATCCCTGAAACGTGCAACGCGCGAAGTTTGCTCATCCGACGATCCCCGATCGACAATCGAGAAATTTTCAAATAATACACACACACACACATTTTTAATTTAAAGTTACATGGTTATATAACATAGGCAACCCAGTATACACATACAATTTTCTCTAAATATAGATATAGACAATCTTCACATCAAGTAATTTAAATTTATTTTTTAATTCTATGGACACTGGTAAAATCCCAAAGAAATAGTAGATCCAAATTAACATCATTGAGAAGCACAAATGTGATTGTAACAGTGACATCCATTAACATAAAATCCTGTATTATTACCGACTTACTCTAATTTATTAATTCATATTGCTCTCATGGATTATTTTTTATGGTTTTATTTCTGCTTTATTATACAATTATTTATGTAATTGTATAATCATTAAAATGCACAGTGCAAACCTTTATTGTTTAATACTACTACTTTATTACTACAAATTCTTACGAGACGTTACTGAGCTGCTTCAATAAAAAAATACAGTCATACCTCGATTGTGTTCCATAAAAATACTTCGCTAAGCAAATATTCGTTTTTAGAGGTAAAAATGTTATGGTCAGATTGAGAGTCATCTATAATAAAGCAACTAAAAAAGCTTTTGTTCAGATCAAAGAAAAGTTTTATTAAATAAGCAATAACTTATGTACAAATTTAAATCACATTTTAAAATAAGAATCTATATTTCGTTGCTTGAGCTTTTCTTCTCTTTTATTTAACAAGTGCATCTTCGGAGTTCTGGTATTTAAAACTGATCGATTAACAATAACACAACTTCTTAAATTACTAACCTTTCCATTAAAAGACTTATTCCTTATTCCAATAATTCCTTAAAATTTTTTGGTTGTTAACATTTTTTCGGCAGCAACATTTTGAATTTCGTCCTCATTTTCTTACAAAGTTTTCTCAATTTTTCAACTGAAAACCCATCCTCTTCTGCATTCAATAAATGCTTAACCTCTTCTTCAACGAGATCTTCATAATCATTGAGCCATCTGGTAAACTTCAATTTCTTGGATATTATTTTCTTATAGTACAACTTCTGTCTATATATTGCGCCAAACTCCATTTAAGCGTTTTTTAGTGGGTACTTACCAAGAACTATCGACGTTTCCAATAGCGTTTTCGATGATGTAATTTTTCAAAAAAGTTTTAACTGTTATTACCTCTTTATCTCCTAGTTAAATTAAATTGCTTAATGTTCGACACAGCTAATAAAACTTTGACAGGAATGTACGTGACTTTGTCGACTTCGTTATCAGAGGTAACGTTAACAGGGATAAGACTATTCATTAAAACGACCGATAAATATCAATTAGTATGAAAAATAAGATCTTAAATATAACATAACTGTCATAACATAAGAATTGAAGTATTTTCGTTATAGAATTAATAACAACAATAAATGACCCTTCAACCTTTTTAGAGTGAAGATCATATTTAAGATTATATATGATAATCGTATATTTCAAGAATTGACGAAGAAATTGATTTAATAAAAAAGTGTCGTGGGTTGCCGACCTCTGAGAAATTATACTAATATAGATGGGGCCCGACCCTTCAGGCCCTATTGACCCAACCCATGGGTTTGTGTTTAATAAAAGGACGTTCTGCAAGATGTGTGAGTTGTGATTCGACCTGATTCGATTTTTCTTGGAGATGAGATATAAATGCAAAAGCCCAAACGATAAGTTTTTAAATTATTTGAGATTTAAATACATTTTGAATATAAGTAATTGTTATTTGAATTAATATCCGACACTGAAGTCTTCTTCAATGTAAACTTATTATATAAGATGTTTGCATTTATATCAGAAATGTCCGTAATAAGTGTATTCGTAGCCGGTTTCCTTGTTACTAAATAAATAACTAAGTACTGACCAAGTCGACACCATTCCTTCCTCCTATCATTGTACTTCAAAATCACAAGTCACTAACGTATCTATATATATATATACTCGATGAAATATAAACATCCTTCTTATCCTTTCAGTTGCAATCAGTTTTCCTGCGTACGGAGCGCTCACTTCAAACTTGTTTTGAAATACCTTTCATATTCAATTATTAATCTGCAACATGAAAACCAGGATATTCAATAGTTCTGAAAACATTATCAGTTTATCAAGTTTAATCTTGGTTAGTTTAATGTATAATACACAAACCATTTGAAATAATTATGTTTTGTATAAATTAGATACGAATTTGGTTGATTTATAAATTAATGAAGTAGTAAACTTTATAATAAACTTTGGTTATTTTACAAACTTTCTTAAAAGTAATTAAAATAAATAATGGTTTGTAAAAAAAAAACAATTTGAAACCGAACCAATCGAAGAACTAAATAATTTAGTATACTATTTGTTTAGAATCTATTTTTATTTTGCTGAATTAAAATTTAGTTTGTTTTAAAATTTTCAAACCGGACTATAATGAATCCGGACTGATCGAAACAGTTCTATGCGAGGTATAGTTATATTTTAAATAGCATCTGGTTAACGTTAATTCATCAATATAACATGTAACTCTAATGAATGTAAGTCAATATAAGTTAATTAACTCAAATCTGATCTAACTATAGATAAATTAACTTACTTAAACTACATTAATTTTATCTAATGTAACTTAATCTAAAGTTTAGTTGCAAACATTGACCAACATAACCTTAACCCAATCTATCCTAATCTAAATCTCGTCCTACTCGTTTTCTTTTGCTCAAACAACGAACAAACACACTCTATTTCTTTACCAACGTTTGTTTTAATTTATTTTAAAGGTTAAACAATAATCTAACCTAATTTATTAGAACCTATATAACAGTAATGAGCAATCTGTGGCACACGGGCCAGATGTGTCCCGCATAGAGATTATATGTGCGCCAGGTCAACAGATATTAAAACATTAGTAGAGAAATTTTAAATTTCAATGTTAAAAAATCATTTAAAGGCATATTCAATTGCTCATAGAAATTTCTATATATTTTTTTCTTTTGTTTTTTGGCCTACTCCTAAAAGTTTGCCTATGACTGCTCTAAAATATCAGTAAATAAATAAATATATTTGATACAATAACTAGATATTTTATTTATATATATCGAGTGAAGTTAAATAATCAATTCCAATTACAAATAATCTAAATAGTTTCTGAACTAACCAAAATCGTAGTTAATTTGATCGAACCAGCAAATAATATTAAATTATATCAATACATTGAATAGTCCGGATTTACAAATTGGTTTCGCTAATATCCCAGACTGTCTGAAACCGGACTAATGGAGCAACTAAGTAAAGTAGACATAAACTACACAAAAAGAGACGTTTTGACATTTTCAAATAGTACAGTAGTGTAGCCGCACTATACGAGTTATTAGTGTCAACATGTTTTTCTATTATTTCATTTAGTTCACAGTAATATTTATTAAAAATAATTAAAATTTTAGTTATGTTCATTTAATCTTCTTAAAAAAATCTTGTATAGAAAATGTGTATTAACTTGTAACAAAATGACTTATGTTAAAATATCAGTATTTTTTAGTTCTACAAATATGTAAAAAAATATATACTTATGTTTTGTATAAACTTTTTTTTCCAAATTTGCGTATTTTTAGAGAAATGTGAAATGATTCAAGTTTATAAATGAGTTGTCTTGAATGTTAAATAACCATCGACTTGAGTCCCGTTTATTCCATGATTATAGCTTATTACACGCGCCAGATATTTAACTAAACTTGAGTTTAAAGAACTTGCTTAAAGGGTTTGTATTTATGTTTTGAGGTAAAAATCTATATTGTAAATTGAATTTTCTATACACAAAAAAAACAACAATATAAACGACGAAAGTGAAAGCTCGTCCTCTCACTTATCTCATTTACGTTTAACGCAATTACTTATTATGCTGAATTCCGGAAATCCGCGGTTTCTCGCATCGATATCCTAAAACTAACACGCGTTTTCTTTGGTTGCAGTTCTTCTGCGAGGATTCGAAGACACACAAAAAAAGAGAAGGAAAGGCGATGACGTCAGACGTTGAGGAGCGCGGGAATGGTGGAGAAGAGGTGGCGTCCTTCAAGGACCTTGCGGCTCACTGAACCTTACTTACTTACCATTAAAGCCGATGATGAGCTCGCGCTTTGCGAGAAGGAGACGCGCGCGGCAACGCACCCTTCTTGCAAATTGAAAAATAAAAGACTTCTGTTACGCATCAAACGCATAAAAAGAGAGAAACAAAAGGAAGGAAGTCGAATACCGAGAGGACGATTGCATTTGACTTCAGTATTCCGATGAATCGGCGAGGAAGAAATCCTCCAATAAAGCAAACTAAAACTACAGGAATTTCAGGCAATTAATTTATTAAAAAAAATAATTAATTAAAACTCGATCACAATTTGTAAAATTAATTACTACAAACGCGTGCAGATTTAACATTTGCTTATCTTTTACGAATTTAAACGAAACTAGGTTCCATTTGCATAACTACAATTTCTGGTGATAGATAATTGAAAAAAATAATAAATCACCAATAGATAAATTTTTATTAGTTTCGGCGCCAATAAATCGCGTTCTTATTAACTATGAATTTCTCCTCTTCCATATATTATGCGTTCTTGAAAACCCACAAACGGCGAGAACAAAATAAGTGGGTTTCTATGGTTCATTAAACCAAAGGTCGCGCGAAATTCCATTTGCAAATTTCGTTCGCGAAATGAATGGAATTTGGAATATTGAGAAACGATTGCATCGTCATTTCTATGCATTAATAAATTTGTGAAATATTTCCGTATTGAAATTTAATATTGAAGCAGTTGCATTACAATTTATATAAAATTTGGACGTGTTTTAGTAATTTTAATGGGAATTTAGATATTTGAAAATATTGATTAAAATTTATTATAATTTATAATAATTTTGTTAATCTTTAATTTACTTAATAAATTACATTAATTATTTACATTATATATTAAATTTAAAACTGAATATTCTACAAATAATTATTATAAATATTTAAACTAATGCAAATAACTGTAAATATTTTGTTATTGAAGCTAATTTGAAGAAATTATTTAGTTTATCTTTTTCATTGTCTGCAGAGGTCAGTAAGAAAAGACGTTCGTTTTTTTGTATACAAAGAATGAACTTTAATCAATCATTTTTATTTTGTGCGATGACCTTTTCTCATCTTTCTGGCAAATTCATGATTCCGCGCTCATAAAACTCATCATAATTACTGAATGTTTTATTATTCAAAGAGTTTTGCAAACTTCGAAATAAATGGTAATCTGATGGCACAAGATCAAGGCTGTATGGGGGATGCGACATCACTTCCTAACCAAGCTCCAATAATTTTCCACAAGTTACTAAAGATGTGTGAGGATTTGTCAATTCTGTTCATTTTTCTTTGATTGCTTCAACCAATTTCATTGGCAGACGACAGTAAACATTTAAATTGTATCCAAGGAATCTTTCGCTCAAAACACCTTTTTAATCCCACCAAACTGATAGCATAATCCTTTTTAACGTTCGATTTGATTTAGGCTTGTTCATCGTGATTGTATGATCCTTTTTGATTGATGTTATTGTAGATGATCCATTATATTTCAATTATTGCGTATATCGAGATTCGTATGGAGTCCAACACATTTAAGTGATTTTCAGTTGTTGTGTGTGACACATTTAACCTCTCTGTAATCTCTTGCACAGTTATATGATGAACCGATTCAATTATGACTTTGATTGGGTCAGCATAAACGTCAGTAGGTCAACGATAATGTTGGTCATCTTCGAGTGAAAGATCTCCAAAACGGATTTTTTTTTAAACACGTGCATTCTGTTAAACTATCAACATCACACACTTCACATATCGCTTTGTAAATATTCGGTTTTGCACTCCTGTTAAAATTGACCAAGTTCAAGTTTAAATATCTTGTATTTATATATATAAGAATTAAAGTTGTATAGGGTGTGGTTTGGTGTGGAGACTGCTATGGGCTTTCGCCTTTTTCAGCCTTCAGATATTAGTTTTTTTACAAAAAAAAGAGACAAAAATGACTTAAGCAAACACAGAAACATATGATACAATGAATGTAAAGGAAAATATGTGAAAATGAATTGAGTTGACTATGAATACATGGAAAAACAAATGATACAGTTGTGCTAAATAAATGAAAATAACTTGATTTGACAAAGAAAATTGAAGATTGGAAACAAAGTGAAACATGAAATAAAATGAACTGAGCGGACACAAATAAGATATACATGCACTTAATACAAATAACACTTTGTAGCGCTGCACAAAAAAAGAGTAGGGGTTAAAATTGACCATAAACTAATAGCTGCTAACAAATCTACGTGCAATTGACATCTTTCAGATGACAAAAGGTAAAAATCATAACATTGACAGAAGAATTTTTGATATGTAAATAAAATCTTATATTAATTTCCATAATTAATGCAAATATTTTAACTGAGATTTTGTTATTTGAAAAGGTGGAATCTATGGTTTTTGTTGAAATTCTTTTGTTGATTATTAACACGTTAATGACGTCGCATGTGTGAAACATCAAATATCTTACGTCAATTACTAACTTAAACGTTAATATTTCAGTGTCCCGGTTTGAACATCGTCTTTGTGTGTTTTAACCCCCTGTTGTAATACACATCTACATATGACCACTGGGCGGTAGTTGGCGAAATTGTGCTTGACACAAGGTAATTAACGGGAGTGGAGTGGTTTAAAGAAGAAGTAATACTTCAGTGGCGTGCATGGCGGGTAAACTATTATTCATAATGCATGACCCACCGGTGGGCCATGCTGCCTTAACGTGTTAATAATCGCATAATATACCAATAAATATGTTTAAATAAAAAAAATATACAAAACGTGCAACATATTTCTTTTGTTTATATCTCTTTCTATAAAAAATCCAAATTGAATTGAAACAATTTGTCGATTATTACCTTGAAAAATATGTTCAAGAACAATCTCCGTTCTATACAATAGCTGTTCATAATTGACACATCAATTTTAATTGAGATTTTGATACACAGTAGAGTGGATTAAAATTTTACGATTTCGTTGAAATTCTCCTGGTGATTGTGATTGATTGAAAACTACAACGAATTCAAAATCTATAAATGATGTGTTTTTTTTTCATTTCTCATTAGAAAATCCAATTTAAATTGAACCAATTTGTCAATTACTACCTTGAAAAATATTTTCAAGAACGATCGCCATTATAGTATGTAACATTCCATAATTTTATGGATTAATTATAATTTATATATTTTGAAAGGTGGAGTAAAATTAATGAATTTTGGACAAAATATTTTTATTTGTATTTATTTTTTACATAATAAGTTTGTTTTACTAATACATTAATTGAGATTATGATATTTTCAAGCAATATTCAAATTTATGATGATTTTGTCAAAATTATTGGATTGTGTGTAAATGTTATTATTAAAGTTTCATTAGAAAATCTAGTTTAAATTGAATCAATTTATCTGTTGAAAAACATTATCAAAAATGATCTCCATTCTACATAAGGCCTCTTTGTAATTGCTGTATTAATTCTAATTTATATTTTTTTGCATAAATTCTTTATTTGATTATTAATGGTAGACTGAATCACAGAACAATGAACAAATAATAAATTGCAAAAAATAAGTAATTATTTGCTTCAAATACTTCACACTTCACTCATCAACTGCAACTTGTATTCCACTATTTTATTATTAAGAAAGAAACTTCAATGAGAAATGTACCAATTGAAGGTTACTACCTTGAAAATGTAATCTAATCATACTGAAATTTTTTCTACAATCAATATTTTTTTGCATTTGCCATTATGTAATTCTTTGTTCGTATTAAAATTAATATAATTGATACTTGTATAATAATACTTTAAAGAGCTTTTTATCTCAGGGTTTTCCAAACTTTTCCTGCAACGGAACACTTTGTAATTTTGACAGAAACAAGGTGTTCTTGTTAGTATAGGTAAAAAAAACATAATCAATAAAAGTTAAAAAAATGAAAAAAAAAACATTAATTATTAATTTAGTCATTATTTTATTCCTAGTTTTCGCGGAACACCTTTGGGAAACCCTGCACTATATCATGTGATTCCTGATAGAGATATTTTAAGTAAGTAATACACAAAAATCGCTAATAATTAAGTTGCTGTTATGTAATAATATATGGATAATTCATATATTATTATTATTATATAGTACTTATTTTAATGTGCTGTAAATATTACTAACCTTTAATATAATTTATGATAAAAATAATGAGTTGGATGATTGTTTTCTATTATTACTTTAAGTAACAGGTGTAAAAAATAGTTTAGAATCATATTGAATCACTGCGTTCTGATGTAATTATCTAAGAAGTAGGATAATTCAAAAATAATGTAATATATCTTAATCTAAAATATTTTTTATGTCTTTGCAATTACAAAATTTTGCAAATCCACACATTTGAAAATTGATTTTAGAATCAAAATTCTCCTTATACTTCAATCAATTATTCTTACAAGGAAAAATCAATATCGGCTGTGTCCAAGACAATACATCTATTTTTTCTAAATTTGTAATAATGCTAAACTAGGCATGTTCAAAAGGTGATACATTGCGTGTCGATTTTACGCTTGGAGAAGGAAATTATTATAGATTTCATGATTATTTTTATATAATTGCTCAAAAACTTTAAAAACCTATATTTTTTTCATTGAACCCTGAATTCCATAGATCCCCTTAGTGTTAGTTTTCGATTTTCGAACAAATCCGAATCTCTTTTAGAATGAATCATGTTCTACAAAAGATGTTTTACTGTAGTTTATATCTACTTTTTTTTTGGTTTACAGTCAATCATAACTGGGATTAAATTCAAACTTTGATTAGGAATATTGTTATATGCTATAATCGATGTGATGAGTATGACTTTAAGTATTGTATTTTTTAAGAATAGTTTTTACTTTTAGATTTGGAGCAAAGAGGAAGGAAGCTGTGTGTATGTGCAAACACACATATGCATATATATATATATAAATTGAGATTGTCGATTCTCGGTGGAGCGGAGAGGAGAATGAAATGCGTTCCGAGGGCGAAGCGAGAGAGCGAGAAGCAGTGAGGAAACGAAGATTGAAACTGTAATTTTCATAAAGTGACTATTAAGGATCGCAGTCGTTCCTCTCGTCGGTCTTAAAATTTATTCGGTATGTAAGTTTCCAGACCATTGATTAAATGTCTTTGCCGGCTGACGGTGTTCTCTCTGGGATTTCTCGGCGCAATTTCCGAAGATACGGCGAGGAGGAAAAGAAACAAGAAGGAAAAAGT